ATATATATATATATATATATATATATATACATATATATTGATATGTGTGTGTGTGTATCACCATGAAGGCTCAAATATTTATTTGAAGTTATATGTCATGTGACAAGAAAGCTCACCCTGCACCTACAGAGACAGTTTATGCAATTTTTTTGTGGAATTGCAGTTATGAAAGTGTATCCGAAGCACTGTGTACAATAATTGAGATTCAAAAGATGACACGCTTCAAAACTCTAGACTACAGCTCTCTTCCAGAGCCATTTCTTGGATCCAGATTTCTTTTAATCCTTCAGGGCCCTGAGGCAGTCGCAGCAGCGCTGGCAGGCTGTAAGATTCTAAAGGAGATGGCGCGCCTGGAATCTGAGGCTGAGTCTGCACGCAGTATGAAGGAGGCCAAGTATGAGCAGTTTGCCCTTGGTGAGTACATAAACTGTGCCATGATAAGAGCTGACAATGTGGTTATAGGAACCAAAGGTCAAGCGTAGCCTCAATTACCACGAACCAACAATATCTGAGAAACACGCAAACAGTCCTGGTGTGAGGAAGTAAAAAGTGAATATGAAAGTGAGAAAAGTCTTCAGAATGCAATAAAAAATGAGTGGCTGGCCCTGTGCTGACTGTTCTCATTGTGTCAGATGTCTTCGGAGAATGTTACTCCAACAGCGAAGACAGGGCTTATGCTTTGTTAGTGAGAAGAACTCACTGCTGGAGCAAATCTACGGTTCTCAACTTGGCAACCGAGGCAGATGCTAAATCCTTCTTTGCACACGATGGAGTCCAGGTAATGAGACATGTTCATGCTTCTTTGGTTTTCATTTGTCAGATTCTTTTTTTTTCTTCTTTTCAGTCTTGTCAAGTGGTCAAAAATGCTGCAACATCCCAAAACGTATTCATTTTGACCTCTTCTGTGCTGCAGTTCTTTCATAAAGAATGTTCCCACTGCAATGCTCGCCATTAGAGCCTTTAATCAATGCACTTTTTTTTCCCCTACATATCCCTCCAAGACATGTCCTTGTCATTAGAAAGTCATCAGCGAGAGTCAATTGGTATTCAGTCAGCAGGGAAAGTTGGCACACACCAACTAACATCTTTTATTTAAAGCATGCAGATAGAATAATAACATCTTTGTAATCAGAATCTGTTCATCTCGATCCAGTGCGGGTGCATCATTTGAAAAATTGTCCAGATTTCCCCGCTCTGTTGGGGTGGACAGGTTCATAACGAAGCATCAGGTGCCGCTTCACGTAAGAAGCCTTGAGACAAACAGCTGTCAGCAGCTGCAGGTTAGGAAATGGTTGACTTGTTTTATTGAAACAGAGGGAGGGGGCTGTTTTATTTGTTGTCTTTGTTATATAACTGTTCACACGCACCTTCTAAGAATAAAGTCTGTAAGGTGAAAACATTCTAAGACCTATGGTGCCGCCTTGTGGTGAACTTTATTCCCACAATTGAGTCAGCCCTCAGGTGTGAAAAACTTTCCATCCATCCATTATCTTTACCCGCTTCTTCCTTTTCGGGTCGTGGGGGTCACTGGTGCACATGTCCAGCAGTCACAGTGTGAGAGGCGGGGGACACCCTGGACAGGTCTCCAGTCCATCACAGGGACACATAGAGACAAACAACAGTTCAAAGCAAGATCACCCTAAAGTCCACTTTCACCACAGGCTCTCCTCACAAAGATCTGGTGGGGAGCTATGACGACAGACACGGCCATCTCCAAACTGGTGGTGTCTTTCTTCTGTCCACCACTCATCTGGACAAACCTCATTAAGTTCAGGTAGCAAGTCTTTTTTGTTTGTTTAGTCCTTATTTTAACTCACTAATCATCTGGAGCAGTAAGTGCTGAGTCTTCTTGTCGAGTGCTCTGACACCCTCTTTTTGTGTCAGTGACGAGGAACTGGACAATCGGGATGCTAACAAGCAGTTTGTGGAGCTGGACAGTCTGGACACAGAAAAGGCGTTACTGCTAACGGATGATGACGACCCTTTGTGAGTTTGAGTCCACGGCTGTTATTTAAAGGTCATTAGCTGCTGGGAGTGAAAGCTTGGCCTAAGATTAAGCTACAGTGATGATAAGCCTAATTGAAATTTCTATTTAGTGGTAAATTTCAAGCCGTTATTGTTTTTTATGACCTGCTGCAGAAAAGCAAAGATGGACAGTAATAGTTTTGGACACATCTGTGAGTCTACTTGTGTGTTTGTGTCTGTTAGCAAAATATCTCAAAAACCATGGCACATGTTTTAATGCAACTCACAGGAATTAAGCACTAGATGTGCATCCACACATGATTAACACTTGAAACCAACCCAATTCAAAATGGCCGTCACAATCAACAACGTTCAAAGAACACGAAGGCCACTACGACTCAGTCATACAGATTCGGAGATAAAATTTGGTGTGGTAGAAGCTAATTTTGTTAAACAAAACACATTCTCGATGCTAACAGACTGAATTTGTTTATTTAAAAATTTAAAGTTAACTTTGTCTGTTAGCAAAATATTTAATGACTAAATGCAAAATGCTAATCTTGGTTTGGTAGTAGCTGAGTGTCTTTAACAACACATATATTGTAGTCTGCAAGATCTTTGCTTAGACCTTTGGCATTAACTGTTGAGGCCAATTCTGTGTATGTGTTAGCAAAATATCTGGGGATTTTAATAGAACTTGCAGAAGGTGTTTAATGAATGTACATCTACAGCTGATTTTTGGAGTAAATACAGTTCAAGATGGCCGCCACAGTTAATGAACATTAGCCAGCACAAATATTACTATAGCTCAGCAAGTTTTACAAATATTGCAGTAAAACTGAGCATGGTAGTAGCTGATAGTTATTCACAGTAAATACTCTGAGCCTGCCATCCTGTAATAATGTGCGATCGTACGTATTATGTTCAAGGTTACGCCAAAATGCAGCAACTTCATCATTTCTCAATATAAGAGGGTCTGAGTCTAAAACTTTCTTCTTCTTACATCAAATCCTTACATTAAATACTTGTATAAACAACATGCTATTAAAAAATAATTGTCAAAAGGTAAATTAGTATTGTAATACATCATGTAAACTGAACTTTATTGTTTGATAAATAACATTCTAAGACAAAATGTATCGGGTAAAGAGGACGTCTGGCTTTGTTTTATTTTTGAAATCAAGAGGTTTCTTAAAAAGTTTTTGATTCTTTGTTTTCCAGGGATGCTCTACCTGGTAGTCCAGAAACTCAGAGCTGTGCCACCGTCTGGTGGCGCTTCCTGATCCGCCGCTGGCGTCGCTTTTGGAGCGCGCCCGTCACCGTGTTCCTCGGCAACGTCATCATGTACTTCGCCTTCCTCTGTCTCTTCACCTACGTGCTCCTGATAGACTTCCGCCCACCACCGCCTTTTGGCCCGGGGGCTCCTGAGATAATGCTTTACTTCTGGGTCTTTACCTTGGTGTTGGAAGAAATTCGACAGGTGAAGATGAGAAATAATTCCATCTCAATGGGTTCCTAATGTGTCTGGTTTTTTTTAATTGTCAAACAAGCTTTAAGTTTGCCCAATTTATTTATTTCATATTTTTGTTCAAAACACATTTATCTGTGCAGGCAGCTTTGTAAAGCAGCAGCTCTTTGATTAGATACAGCAGCTTTCTGTCCTGACGAGTCAGACACGTCTGAGCAGGCGATGATGTGATTCGCTAGAGTGAACCCGTTCTCTCCGGGGATTTAAGGATTCATCTCTCTGCATTACTCGCCCTCCATGAGCCAGGTCAAATAAGTCTGATCCCGTATTGCGGTGATCCAGTTGAGCCCTGCTCCCCAGAGGCATGGAGAACCCATACGAGGCAGGCCTTCACTGCTCTTCCTTATTTTTGCTATTTCTAAGTGCAGCAACCAGTGTGTGCAGCACAAGTTACCAGTGGAATTTGCACAAAACCAATCTAGCCCCTGAGACTTATCCATCTATCAAGTTATCTGTCTCTCGCTTTTTGAAAGCACCCTATATCCTCAGCTTGACGTCAAGCAGGCAGCATGAAGAGAACAGGCAATTGTTCTTAATGCACTTACATGTGGCTTGTTCAAACCACAGTAGACAGCTCGACCTTAGATTCTCTGCATAACGGATGTTTCACAGAGCTGAGAATCTGAGGCCTTCCCAGTGTCTTGAAAGCATCTAGGCAGAGTACCAACTGATTCCCTTTTGGTCTCTGCAAGTGTGTCTGAAATGGGGTCAGATGCATCACTTCAAGAGGGCACATGGAAAAGGACTTTAAAAACCATTCATGTTTTCTGAGTTATGGAAAAATGTATATTCATTACATTAAAGTAAAAACTTTTGTTTGACAGAGCTTCTTCACTGATGAAGAGATAAACATCCTGAAGAAGTTTAAACTTTATGTAGAGGACAACTGGAACAAGTGTGACATGGTGGCAATCTCACTCTTCGTTGTCGGGGTTTCCTGCAGGTATTTGTTTCTTTTAAATACAGCATCGGCCATTTCTGTAGACGCTCTGCTATTGTGGTAATTTACTGTTATACAGTGTTAAAATTAAGTTTTGAATAATTTCATTATGAAAATATTCTAATGCATGAATCCAGTTAATTCAAACTTTAAAATGAATTGGACGGAATCTGAACTACTGATTTTTTGTATAGAACCCTGATGTTAACTAATGATAAATGGTAGGGATTATGAAACCACACAGGACAATAAAAGAATATTATCCATTTTTCAGAATGGTGAAAAACACCTATGAGGCAGGACGGACTGTTCTGGCAATAGATTTCATGGTATTTACTCTACGTCTGATCCACATTTTTGCCATTCATAAGCAGCTGGGCCCTAAGATCATCATCGTGGAAAGAATGGTGACCAAATGCTTCTTCAAAGAGCTTTTATATTTTAAGACTTCAAGTCAAAAATAAAGACGGTGTAAAATTTGTGGAGCTAATAAGAGACAACTATTTCTGTCTTACAGATGAAAGATGTTTTCTTCTTCCTCTTTTTTCTGAGTGTGTGGCTCATTGCGTATGGCGTTGCCACCCAAGCTCTTCTCCATCCCAATGACCCAAGGATTGACTGGGTGTTTCGCCGAGCCTTATACCGACCTTATCTGCACATTTTTGGTCAAATCCCATTGGAGGAGATAGATGGTAAACTGTGGTAATTCCATCTTGGAAGCAATATATAATTCAGCCTGATGTATATTGGGTAAAAGTACCTGGTACTTATTTGGTATGAAACAGAAATGTACCTGGTACTTTGTTAGCACCTATCACTTAACTGGCACAGTTGGGAACATACCTGGTTCTTGCCTAAAATGTACCAGGCACTGAACTGGTAAGATACTTAATTTATACAGAGTATGTCCCTGATAATCACTTGATACATACTGCATATGCACCTGCTACTTATTTGATATGCAGGTAGTGCTTAGCTAGTTTGTACCTGGCATTTAGTATGTACTTGACACCTTCGAGATAAGTAGGCACATGACCTTGTAAGTACCTGGTACATACTTAATTTGTACCAGGTAACAAGTCACTTTAAAATAAAGCCTGTTTTTTGTAAGTACCAGGTACAAACCCTGGAACTTACCTGTTATGTACTGGGTACATACTTGGCACATGCATGGTAAATACCAGGCAAATCCTATAGGTAAATGTCACGTAAGCACTGGGTACATATGAAGTACATACAAGGTAAGTCTGGCATGATCCCCATAAGTACCTTGTACATAAGAAGTATATACCAGTACCAGGTGTATACCCTGTACATACCAAGTACATAGTGGGCTGTATTATGCATTGCCATCCTGTTAATTTAATAAGGTATTTATTAGGATAAGGCATGACTTTGTTTTCCTCTTAAAGGTCTTGAACATTTTCCAATCCTTTTTTCTTTTTTGCCTTCTTGTGAAATGAACCCCAGCTGCCAGAATGCCTGAGATGAACTGCACCAATGACTCAGAGGAAATTGTCATGGGACTACGGCCGCCATGTCCCAACATCTATGCCAACTGGCTGGTCATTCTGCTGCTTGTTATCTTCCTTCTTGTCACCAATGTCTTGCTGCTCAATCTCCTCATTGCCATGTTCAGGTTAGTAAGGAGCTGACAATCCAGAAAACCATTCATGTGATTATTTCTGGTCTAAATCAATAAAGTATGCTGCTTGTTTATGAATTAAAGACAATTAAAGCACTATTGATTTGTGTCCTTTGCCCCAATTTGCAGCTACACCTTTCAGGTAGTTCAGGGTAATACAGATATCTTCTGGAAGTTCCAAAGATACAACCTAATTGTGGAATACTACAGTCGTCCAGCACTTGCTCCTCCATTCATCATTATCAGCCATCTTTCTCAGCTCTTTCTCAGCCTGGTAAAAAGACCTGAGTCCAAGCAGGAGCATCTTGGTATGAAACTTCTACAACCATGCTTCCATTAGGGACTTTAAAACCATTCCCTGCTGCTTGTATCAGTGAAATACTTCAAAAGCTGTCTAGTTTTCTATGTGCCTTTCCTTTTATCTTCATATATTTCTTTTTGAGTATTTCTCTGCCTCTGTGTGTGTGTGCTTATGCAATACTGTTTTTGTGTGTTGTCAGAGAGGGAGCTGCCAGCAGGACTGGACCAGAGACTCATAACATGGGAGACGGTGCAGAAAGAGAATTACCTGGCAAAACTGGAGCGCCAGCACTGGGAGAGCAGTGAGGAGAGGCTCAAGAGTACCTCATCAAAGTAATTACTTCACAGTTCTACAAAACATCTGTGAACTTTTATTTACTTATACTATTTTTGCTGTCAGTTTTTCTCCTTTGTAACACTAAGGCCAACCAATGTCTTCCGTTAAGCTCATGAATAATCAATAAGAACAACATTTAAGGGTGCCAATGCAGCTACTTCGCAAAATTCCAAAATCAGCCTTGTAGTGATCTAAGCAAACAAAATGCCCAAGTTTGGTGTACAAACTGTATAAGAAGCATGATAAGTGTAAAGGTAAAATCAATGTTAAAGCTACTTATTATAGTCACCATAGTAACCACACAGCTGAGTCTATCACTCCCTGACAACAGCACACATGGGGAAAAAATGATAGAAACAGACTGAAACATAATCTTCAAAATTGAAATGAAAACTCAAAATTGAACCTCCACATTTCTTTAACTGTGAGCAGCAGAATAATATTTTAGACCCACATGCAACATTTCATCTTTCTATAGCATTTTATGTAGAACATCTGACAAGTTTAATGATCTCGTTCACTCATCTAAAGAACAACTTATCGTGACCAATTGAAGCCAAAACAATGACTGGGCTTTCTCACTCGTTTCACCAAAATCCTTGTTTTTATTATAAATTATATTGTAGTTTTGTTGCAAATTATGTCTATACTGAATACCATACTATTTTTAATTGAATTGCAACATTTTGATGAATTATAGGAACCAAACATAATAGTCAGGTTGCTTCAATGTTTAGAAGTTGGACTTGAACAGGGTTTTTTTCTCTGTTTGTAGAGTTCAAAGCTTGCTGAAGATCGTTAGTGGATTTAAGGACCAAGAGAAACGACTGACGTCCATGGAAGCTCAGGTAGACAAGTAACATTTATCAATAGTTGTATTTTTTTTTCTTTTTTTTTCAAATGTGTAGTACTTACTTTTACAAACTATATAACCTGAAATTGTTTTTAACCACCTGTTCAGGTCAGATACTGTGGGGAGGTGCTGTCCTGGATGGCAGAATGCTTTGCCAACAGCACACTTAAATGCGGAAAAGAAGTCCCAAGAGCTCCAAGTGAGTCAAAAGTCAGAAACTAGAAAGACTTAACTCATAAATGTTAGTTCTGTGACAACATGTACAATCACTGCTTGGTGTATGGTAATGCTGCATGAACTTTTAGCCTCTCTAACAGAGAGCAAGGCAGCTGGCGCCGTGGACACATCCCAGAGTCATCCCGAGAAGGAAGCCAAACAAGACCAGGGAGAAGCCAAACCTGCTCACTCAGGATATGGAGCCAACAAGAAATTTCCTTACATTGATGAATAAAAAGAAACACTAACCTGTAACACAAAGGCACATAATGATACAAACACCGCGACACAATCATAGTTTCTCTGGTCCTTGGACTTACATTTTCATCTTCAAATGTCAGTGGTGTCCCTTTTCTTAAACTGATTAAAGCAGGGGTTCTTAACTTTGTGAGTTCAGGGACCCCTTACATGGAAGAAAAGGTTTCAGGGACCCCCTCATGTTTATAAATGATTTTCTTCAATTTGTCTTTTTAATGCAAGGGAATATTTGTGTGACATAAATACTTGAGACCAGGGCTTAATTTATAAACTGGTCGATGCCAGAATGCAAATAACAGACAAGCTGGCATGGGGGGCGGGGGTGTTCTGGGGTTCCTTCCCCAGAAAATTTTGAATAGATGCGATTTCCTGCATTTTGGTGTATTTTAACGAGTTGTTAAACATCTACGTTTATCTACATTTGTAAACCACTTCTGTCAACTATCCTAGCTGCTATTTTGACAAATTAGTGCTGTTCTTTTGATACATAATGTGAATAATACACATCAAACATTCATCTCATTGCATTTTTAATAAATAATCAAAATCTGATTAATGACCCACTTAAACTGTCGGACTGATTTGCAGTTTTGTTGTGCTGTTTAATTATATTTTTAAGTTTTTTAATAAAATTGTGCGATGACTTTGGACTTTTGGGGGCGGAGATTTTTTTAAGGGTATATGTGGAAATGCTTACTTGAAATGGCACATATGTGATATTAAGAAGCTTGTAATTGGCCGTTGTGTTTAAAATGAGTGTTTATGTAATTATTTTCAGTTAACATATCCAATATAAGTTTTATTCGTTCAAGGCAGTCATATTTGTTCATAACTTTGTTATTAGTAAGCCTGAGTGTAAGCAAACAGTTACCGGAACGCACCCTGTCAAAATAAGAGAATTCCCAGATCCTGTTCCGGTAGAATCTGTCTCAAATTAAGCCCCGCTTAAGACCTGCTACTTAATGGTGTTAATGCAATTTTTATTATTTTAAACATGGAGTATTTTTCTTTGAAGACTTTCTTAATTAACAAAAAAATTCATTTCAACTTCCAAAAACCACCTTGAAACTGTATCTATTCACTTAATGAACATAATAAATGTGTCCCACTTCTTTAATTACAGAAAACTCTTTACATAAAACTGAACCGAATCATAACAGTGTAGTGGAAGGGTTAATTTTGATTAAGAATTCGTTATGATTTTTATTTTGAAAGGGGGCACCACTCTCAAAGCTTTGAAAGAAAAAGTATGAACATCACCCTCAGATGTTTAATTACTTCAAATTAATCTATTTACAGTAAGTTCTTTTATATGAAAGATTCAGATGTCATAAATAAAACACACACGCTTCAGTATACAATTTTGTGACTTTTTTTTGGTTATATATGGACAAATAACGATTGGAAATTATTGCTTACATTTAAATGATGGCTTTGTTTAATAACCGGAGTTTATGGAAATTAACCTGACCTTTAAAATACTTGTTAGCAGAAATTGACAAGTAAAATGGAAGTATTCTATGCGATTACCCAAACCAAAACGAGATGGAATAAAATTAAATGTAATAATCTGAAACTTTCAGCAAGGCAAATTAACTATGCAAATTTAACCAAAAGGAAAACACTTTGTTTATGGTAAATGGACTATACTTATATAGCACCTTTCTATCTTATGTCCAGATACTCAAAGCGCTTTTCACTACAATCTGTGTCCTCATTTACCCGTTCATGCAGCACTCCACTAGATCTCTATAAAGATAATTGAACAAATCATTCTAAAGAGACTAATCAGAGCTTTTTAGATCAGATTCATACACTCATTTTGACGCACATCAGAGGCTATGAGGGTTCAGTGTCTTGCCCAGGGACACTTCGGCATGTGACTGCTGGTGGATTCGAACCCCCAACTCTCACACTGGAGGACGACTGCTCTAACCACTCAGCCACAGCCGCCCCATTTATGCAAATTAAATTTAAGGGAAAATAATTACTGAACTGAGTTAATACTAATTTGGTTGACACCTAAATTTAAGGACACCAGGCATCACATCCCAGAGTAAATCAGCTTTCTCCTACCGGGAGTTGACTTCGAATGGCTGCCGAAGATATCAGATGTGGGACTCTTTCTCTGCTGAGATGGTTTGAGCGACGTCAAAGGTGGAGATTCCTTTCCCGTCCCTGGGCATCAGTTGAGGAGTCCGGATCACTGGTTTTGAGTGGTCAGCCGATGCTTCTCCGGGAGTTCTGGGTTGCTGTTATTAGCTCTGGTGATGCAGCTGCAGGTGTCTCTGGATCGCTGGAGATAGTTTCATCAAACTTGGCTAAAATGGAAACTTTCCATTTTATAGTGAAGCTTTCTGTAGGTTCTGACGCATGCTCAATAATCCAGGTAGAAAAATCTAAAAAAGTTAAATCTGGTCCTCTGGACATTTTTTTGAATGCCCAGAGGACCAGATTTAACTTTTTAGACTTTCTGTAGGTTGTTTGACTTCTAAAGGCTTACTACTCCTTCTTCCTTGGAAATCTCTTTACACTACCTACAACTCTGAAAGGGAATGATTGATTTCAACCAATCAGGACAGGGAGGCTGGACTTTGGTTTAACGTTTATCACCTAAATTAAGCATTACCTTAATTCGCTCTGCTGAAAAGTCCTTGAATAAAAGAAAAGTAAAACACTTGTGTACGACTTAAGATGTACAACCTACGTCTTGATCGTTAAGCGAGATTAAATCAATAAAAACACTTTTGTTAAACTTGTGAACAGAAAACAAGTTTGCCATATTTTGACTAGATTCTTGTCAGCTATAAAAAAAAACAACAAGGCAAGTTATTAGTTATTTCCAATAAACAATTATTTCATTACAGAAAAGCATTATTAATTTTCCATAATAGGAAGCGAGAGTCTGTGTCAGTTCTTCTGAATGGAGCAAAAGTGGACCAGAGGTTGCAGCAAGGAATTCCTTTGAACAGGGACCAGCTCTTTCTGTTATCATCCAAATTCACAACCAGAGGAAGGGCGGTTTGGTTCGATTATTGGTACAGGGTGTTACCAGAACTTTCTTGGGGTTCTGTTTAACCTCAAAACGTCCATTTTGGGTTCACAGAAAGGGCTTTCAGATTTACCTGACAATTTTATGGTTTGCAAAACGGTGAAAAGTCTCTTTTGAAATTGACTTGAAAGTAGTTGTGCTAACCAAACGGTTTCAGGATTGACTGGAGAGGAATGCTTTTCTCTTTTTCTTTAGGGGACACCTTCACAGAATGAACTCATTCAGTCCCAATTATTAGAAAATAAAAATATAACAATGAGGGTGATGTATGACCCTACAACAGCAGTAGTCATACCAAGTAACAGGGCTTCATTTGTAAACCGATCAACGCCGGAATGCAAATAGACGGGTAGGCCAGCAGGGTGGTGCAGAGGGTCTGGGGTTCCTCCCCCAGAAAATTTGAACAAAGTAGATGTGATTTCCTGCATTTTGGTGTGTTTTAATGAGTTGTTAAACATCTACATGCTTGTAAGGAAAAAAAAGCAGACTCCCAAGCACTGGCCCACGAACCCTCCAGGGTCCGAGGACCCCAGTTTGCGAACCACTGGATTAAACAGTAAAATCACGCCCTCAAAGTGCCCCCACCCCCAATCTTCAGCTCTATTATTGTTTTTGACTATTATTGTTTAATCCAAAAAGAAAGGGGGCACCATATCATACAACAAAATACAAACTGTAGGAATGGAGGCAATTAGAAAAGGGGGACTACGGTAGTTATATAACTACTTAATGTCTTTTTTTTTTTTTTATTCAAATCATGAATCAGCGCTTCAGATTGATTTAAAAATAAGCCATTTATTTCAGAAGATTGCAACAGCACACAACATTTTCAAATGTGTCACTCGTGTCAGGAAATGTGGGTATTTTATTATAAAGTGTAGACACCAGAATCAAAAACATCTGAACACTTATAAATTATTAGGCACCAATCTACTAAAGATGTTTTCTAAATCATAAAATGGAAAACAAATAAATCAGAGTCGATGCTTAACAGGTTTGCTATGAAACAAAAACACTGAGTTAGTACACTTTATTACTTTATGCAAAGAATTAAACTATAAAAATATACTTGACTTGATCACATTAGCCAGGCACTTGTGTGAAACAAACTGTACTCTGTCATAAGTAACGTGTGTACACAAAAACAGATAATGTGGAGAAAAAACAAAGTAAAACTGGATAATAGAAGGTATTACTGATGATAAAAAGTTTATATTATAAATTTGTATAGATTATGGCACAAGCATTTCTTAAATTGTAAATGTAAAAACCTATTTGAACAGCATTTTTTTTCTTACAGTGGCACTTCATAAAAAGATAAGAGGCGGTAAGAGGCGGTAAGGTTTAAGTGTAAACTTGATCAAATTAAATCACACAAAATGTAAAATTCTTTCAAAAATCATTTTGGACCATGGACCTGTGATGTAACCAGAGGCCGGTCCAGATGCTGGAGCCGACTCCTCTCCTTAATACCTTCACTATAAAAACTGGATTGATGGACTTGAATATTCTAAAATATTTACTGGTTTAATGTAACATAGAATTGTTCTTTTTATGTTTTTTTTTTTTTTTTTTTAATGAGTTCAGTGCTGTTTTTTACAACAGACATAATTTGCTATATCTAGTCTGCAAGCTGCTGCTGCTGATGATAAGGAAATTAACATGTCGATACTTTTTAAAACCAAAAGAGTTGTTCTGTACTGAAAATATTTGGGGTGTGAACCAATAAAAAGGAAAATTAAATAGCATAGCATTTGTCACATAAAGCTTTTAATTAAAAAAAAATCAGTAACAAGTTAGCTTCTTTTTTCAGAGGAAAAACAACTTTTTACACGAAGGCACGGGTTTCAACCATGAATTTTGGAGCTTTGACAAGAGGGAGGTTTTTTCCCGAGGTCGGCCTGTTAGCTTAGCTCGTAGCTTAGCTTCTCAGCTTAGCTGCTTTTAACGATCCAAAAACGTGATTTTGAAGAGTTAAAATGGATTTTAAAGAGAAGAGAGAAAGGGAGGGGTTACTGAAGAGAGTTGAGCCTTTTGTCATCCAGTGTCTTCAGTAGAAAGAGAGACACGAAGAAACGATAGTCGATAAATGAAAATGAGGTCGATAATTTTCATTTATCATGCGATTAATTGATTTATTGTTTATCACGACTGGCCTAATCAACTATGAATCATTTAGAATGTGCAATCGTTTGATGGGTCAACTTCACCATTATAATTCAGTAGTTTATAGACCCTGCACAGAATCAACTCTTCCACATCAGCTGGAAAAGAAAAGACGTGGGTCTGCATTATTACTACGTGTTCAGTAATTTCAATGGGTTTAGCACACAGTTTAAACTAGGGCCAACGTACAATTAGGTGCTGAAAGTGCACATATGCCCACTTCTATTGCTTGTTAAGTTCGATGTTGACATGCAGCGTCAGATCCAACAGGAATTCCTTGGCTTTAACAATAATAGAATATTACACAAATGTTTGCACAGTTTAGTACAGTGATAACACTAGGACAGTGATTACTCATCAGGTGAAACGTCATTGTAAATCCTGAAAACAATATCAGTTAGACAAAAGAAGATAACTTTGCAAGACCCAGTTGTAAAACAAGGTTAAAAACTGTCAGACTTCCATAAATGTCACAGAGTCAGACCCCACCAACTCATTTTATATAAAATTGTGTTATCCCTGTGAGATCAGGTCTTTTGAGGGGAAACTTACAAACTGTTAAATCCCTTTGAAAACAATGAAAGCCTATGATATTTAGAAGATGAAAATACCAGCACTGATGCTTCTATAAATGACTGCGGGTGTCAGTTTTCCTCTAATGTTCACGATACTAAATGAGCAACCATGACTAAAACATAGGACGTTGTACACACCAGCATGATAGAAATCAGACATAAGTTTGACTTTAGTCTCTTGAGACCGATGCTTCAGGTCCTCTTGGTTGCACTGTTGGTCCCTCACGAAAAACTACAGTGTCAAAGCGTGGCGTAACCTCACAGCGGATCAGGAGAGTGTTGTCTTTAATGTACATTCTCTGATTCAGCTGGTGCAGGTGCATAAAGGTGACATACCCAAATCCTTTAGGATTGCGGTGATTGCTGGGCTTCTGGAAGGCCTGCAGGTCTGGTTTTGTCTCCATGACCTCCATGTGATGCTGAGCCTCGGGTCCCTGGTCGAGTATGGCGAGACGGATGTTCCCTTGAAATGGCCAGGACAGCTGCCCGTCAAAATCTCCTTGCATGGTGTGGACGAAGAGGGAGATGTAGTTGGAACAGCGCGGGGCGTTGGGGCTCTGCATGTGCAAACGCAGACACAGCTTGTAGCCTGGACGACCCGTGTAGAAGCCGGGGCTGTGCTCAACGACCGGCAGCCCCGTTTCTTGGTTGCGCAGGAGAGTCGAGAAATTTTTGAGGCGCCAGATGAAGATACCGTGGCACTGCTCGGACTCCAGTTCCTTTATTGTTTCTTCCAGCACAGACACCCTACGCCTGAGCTCTGCAAGCTGCCCAGTCTGTAAATGAAATAGGACACAAGTTTAGTTTTGCAATCAACGCATCTCTTAAGTATCTCCTTACCTTTAGTTAACCTCCACTATTCATATAGGTAAAGCTCATAACTAAAATGAAACATCCAAAGAGCCCTTTGGGTGCAGGTAGACCTCAAGGATACAACTCAGGCTGCGTTTGCCTTTGGTGTTGAAACGCAAAAGTGCATGTCTGCATTTTAATGACTCAGCACACCTCTTTAAAATTCTAATGCAGTCCATCTAGAACATATTAAAGGCTGCAGTTTGAGGCACAAACACGACTCTCATGCAGCAAACCATAACGATGCATGCCTTTAGATATTTTGAGAAGGTGAAATTATTTAGACCCTCCCGGGCACTAATGTCACACTGCTGATGAGGATAAGACGAGTAAGCAACAGGTGACCCTATGTGCAAAGAAAGTTCAACACATTCTGATAGAAATGACTCGTGAAGTGTCCGAGATCTTCCAAATAAAGAAATATGACTTTGTTTTTCTGTGGGGAGCAAGATTTAAAAAAAAAAACAAACAAAAAAAAAAACGAGCTTGTTGACTTAAAAACAAACTAAATATTTGTAAAGCTTAACAGGAACATGAAATATTCATTACACAAGGAGAAAAGAACTGATGAGTCTGAAGAGTGTCTGTTTAGTCCAATGTTCCTTGAATGTATATCTGCTGCCCATCGTCCCAACATCCTGAGACCCTTGGTCCTTGTGTGAGGACATTGATCTATTAGAGCAGTGGTTCCCAACCCTGGTCCTCGAGGAACACTATCCTGCATGTTTTAGTTGTTTCCCTGCTCCAACACACCTGATGTAGTGATTTAATTACTTCCTCAAGTTCTGCAGAAGCCTGTTAACCACTCATTCATTCAGATCGGCTGTCAAAGCAGGGAAACAACTAAAACACGGAGGATGGTGTTCCTCAAGGACTAGCATTGGGAACCATTTTATTAGAGAACTGCTCATCATAGAAAGCTGAACTTTTGTTTTTAGAGTAATTGGGACCTCCTGACCCCAATTTGCAAAGAAAAATATAAAATACAAAAGTAAACCTACTGTCCTTATATAAAGGATATACTTTTTTCTAAAACTACTTCCTGTACATAACAGTCTAGGTAATTAACTTATTAGATTCTACTAATCCCATGTGCCTTGGAGAAAGAGAAAATGCACATCAAACAAAAGCTTGGGTCTCACGAGGTTAAACTGATATTCTTACAATGAGAAATGATGTAGTTGTAACTGTTTCGGTCAAGTCGTGAAAATAATGCTGTGCATGATCTCATGTGATGTTGGATGTGATTTATTAGAGCTTGAAGTGAGTTTTGTGATTGACTGTCAGCTACTACCACACCAAGTCTTAGCTTTATGTCTGAAAAATTCACTATATACATAGTTTTATGCGTGTCAATGTGTATTATCACTGTTAGTTTTAATTATATGGCATGTTTAAAAACAACAAGGTTGATCAAAATGCTGTACAGGCGCATTAAAACAAAACCAAAAAAGCCACCATTAAAATAAATTAAATAAAATCTCATAAAAACATCAAGTATATTAAAAGCTAAAAATGAACAAAAACTATAGAACACTGCAACCTAAAAGATCTGATGGGACTCAGTAAACCCAGATTAGAAGTCATTGTTAAAAAAGTGTTTTTAGGGAGGATTTTAAAGACTGTGAACTGAGGTGGGCTGTCCCCGACTCTGGGAGCTGCCACTGCAAAAGCCCAGTTCCCTCTGCGCTTTAATTTAGCTCTCGGCTGCACTAAGAGCATCCGGTTGGAAGATCTCTATTTTTTCCAGGGCTATAACAGTCAAGAAGATCAAATAAATAAACAACTGAGTGCCAAACCTTTTACAAATTTAAATGTAAATAAAATAATCCTTAAATCTATAAAATAAACAGGCAGCGAGTTAATCTGCTCAAACAAGAGTGATGAGGTCATGCCTTCTAGTACCTGTTTAAAATTAAAGTTTGAATACCTATGGCAGCCATCTTGAATTAGGTTGACTCTAAAAGTTAATCAGTTATACATGAAAATTCAATGATTATATTCTGAAGGTTTCATTAAAATCTGTTCAGTGATTCATGAGATATAAACATGCACACACACACACACAGCTCCCCTTTGCCTTCTGCAGTGGACAATATTGACGATATGATTCGATATTGTACTTGATCCTAAAAGAGAACACTTAAATGCATTTACAATAAAAAGAAACATAAATCTGATTCCTAAAGGATGCAGGATGAGTCAATACTTTTAGGTTTTAGATTCTGGCAGATCCTGATCACCCCTCTTCATGGTGAGTTCAAGTTGCTTCTACAAACCAGATTCCAAAAAAGTTGGGACACTAAACAAATTGTGAATAAAAACTGAATGCAATGATGTGGAGGTGCCAACATCTAATATTTGATTCAGAATAGAACACAAATCACAGATCAAAAGTTTAAACTGAGAGAATGTATCATTTTAAGGGAAAAATCTGTTGTTTCCAAATTTCATGACGTCAACAAATCCCCAAAAAGTTGGGACAAGTCCATTTTTACCACTGTGTGGCATCCCCCCTTCTTCTTACAACACTCAACAGACGTCTGGGGACAGAGGAGACCAGTTTCTCAAGTTTAGAAATAGGAATGCTCTCCCATTCATGTCTAATACAGGCCTCTAACTGTTCAATCGTCTTGGGCCTTCTTTGTCGCACCTTCCTCTTTATGATGCGCCAAATGTTCTCTATAGGTGAAAGATCTGGATTGCAGGCTGGACATTTCAGTACCCGGATCCTTCTCCTACGTAGCCATGATGTTGTGATTGCTGCAGAATGTGGTCTGGCATTATCGTGTTGAAAAATGCAGAGTCTTCCCTGAAAGAGATGACGTCTAGATGGGAGCATATGTTGTTCTAGAACCTGAACATAGTTCTCTGCATTAATGGTGCCTTTCCAGACATGCAAGATGCCCATGCATAGGCGTCACAACCATTATATGTGAAGGGGACAAGTCTCCCCCACATTAAAAAAAAACATTCATTTGGACCCCCCCACTTTTACTATAAAACATTAGTTCAGGCGGCACAGTTTCTCTTTCTTCGTGAATGAATCCATTCCACTTGATTAATATGATAATACACAAGCTACTAAAACTCCACTCAAGGTTTTCCTGGTTACCTCCAACTCTCCACCGTCTCCACCTGCCTCTTGCCGAGGCAGAAAACGCGCACTGGTGGAGGTACCTATGTTACTCGCTCGCCAGTTTAGCAGCTTAGTGCTGGCAGTGGTTGACCAGGGGGTTGATCATAAACATATATTCATGTTAGAAGGATGTATGAGAGGAGCGCTACGTCTGTAGCATGTTATCTTAGCAGTAACTGTGACGCTGTCAAATGCTGCAGGTGTAAGAGACGCTGTGTGTTCAGCTGTATTAAAGTTGAAATGTCTTTAAAACCCCACACCTTATTGTCCTCAAGTTTCATGAGAAACATAATTTAGATGAGTAGTGTTGAACACAAGTAAAGAAAGTCCAGTGGTGATGTTCTTTATTTCTCTATAAACACAAATAGTGCCGATCTGACGCTCTGTATTAAAGTGTATTAAAGTTAAAATGTCTTTAAAATCCACAGATGAATTTACACAAACTTGGTGAGAAACAAGTTTTAAATGTGTGGAATTAAAGGAAATCTAGGTGAAATTATGCTTTTTTGTTCACTAGTGAACACCTTTTTTTACGTGCGCACAAACACGCACGCGGGCAAACACACACACCTACACACATCATTTTGTCCCCCCCCACATTACAGATGCTTCTGACGCCCTTGTGCCCATGCCACAAGCGCTCATGTAACCCCATACCATCAGTGATGCAGGCTTCTGAACGGAGCGTTGATAACAACTTGGGCTATCCTTGTCCTCCCTGGTCCGGATGACATGGCGTCCCATTGTTCCATAAAGAACTTCAAATCGTGACTCATCTGACCACAGAACAGTCTTACATTTTGCCACACTCCATTTTAAATTACCCCTGGCCCAGTGCAAATGTCTGAGCTTGTGGAGCTTGCTTAGAAATGGCTTCCTCTTTGCACTGTAGAGTTTCAGCTGGCAACGGCGGATGGCACGGTGGATTGTGTTCACTGACAATGCTTTCTGGAAGTATTCCTGAGTCCATTCTGTTATTTCCTTGACAGTGGCATTCCTGTTTGAGGTGCAGTGATGTTTAAGGGTCCGGAGATCACGAGAATCCAGTAGTTTTATGGCCTTGAACCTTACACACAGCGATTGTTCCAGATTCTCTGAATCTTTTGATGATGTTATGCACGGTTGATGATGATAACTTAAAAGTCTTTGCTATTTTATGCTGGGTAACATAATTCTGGTATTGCTGCACTATCTTTCTGCACAACAATGGTAAAATTGATGATCCTCTTACCATCTTGGCTTCTGAGAGACACTGACACTCTGAGAAGCTCTTTTTATACCCAATCATGTTGTCAATTGACCTAATTAGTGTTAATTTGTCTTCCAGATGTTCGTTATATGCTCAATTTCCTTTTTCTAGCCACTTATTGCTACTTGTCCCAACTTTTTTGGGATTTGTTGACACTGTGAAATTTTGAATCAACATATTTTTCCTTTAAAATGTTACATTTACTCAGATTAAACTTTTGATCTGTCATCTATGTTATATTACGAATAAAATACTGACTTTTGCCATCTCCACATCATAGCATTCAGTTTTTATTCACGATTTGTTTAGTGTCCCAACTTTTTTTGAATCCGGTTTGTATCTGGACGCAGGTATCTGCAGCCCAGATGTAGAACGAACAGACTGAAAAACTCATTCATCCCTGTAGTGACCAGGCTTCTCAACGAACAATGATGATTTATGTTATTTTAATGTCTTAATGTCTTGTGTCTTAATGTCTATGGATGTTTTGTGTGTCTGCTGACTGTGAAACAAATTGCCCCTCGGGGATCGATTGATCCATTTTCTTCCGCTTATCCGGGGTCAGGTCACGGGGCTAGCAGCCTAAGTAGGGAGGCCCAGACTTCCCTCTCCCCAGCCACTTGGGCCAGCTCCTCCGGGGGAATCCCGAGGCGTTCCCAGGCCAGCCGAGAAACATAGTCCCTCCAGCGTGTTCTGGGTCTTCCTCTGGGTCTCCTCCCAGTGGGACATGTCCAGAACACCTCACCAGGGAGGCGTCCAAGAGGCATCCTAAACAGATGCCCGAGCCACCTCAACTTGCTCCTCTCGACATGGAGAAGCAGCGGCTCTACTCCAAGTCCCTCCCGGATGATCGAGCTTCTCACCCTATCGCTAAAGGAGAGCCCAGACACCCTGTGGAGAAAACTCATTTCGACTGCTTGTATCAGAAATCTCGTTCTTTCGGTCACAACCCAAAGCTCATGACCATAGATGAGGGTAGGAACGTAGATCAATCGGTAAATTGAAAGCTTTGCCTTTTGACTCAGCTCTCTCTTCACCACGACAGACATGTACAGCGCCCGCTTTACTGCAGACGCTGCACCTATCCGCCAATCGATCTCACGTTCCATTTTTCCCTCAGTCGTGAACAAGACCCCAAGATACTTGAACTCCTCTGCTTGGGGCAGGACCTCCTCCCTGACCCGGAGAGTGTACTCTACCCTTTTCTGGCTCAAGACCATGGCCTCGGATTTGGAGGAACTGATTTTCATCCAGGCCGCGTCACACTCGGCTGTGAACTGCTCCAGCGAAAGCTGTAGATCACGATCTGATGAAGCCAATAGAACCACATCATCTGCAAAAAGCAGGGACGCAATCCTAAGGCCACCAAAATGGATCCCCTCAACACATTGGCTGCACCTAGAAATTCTGTCCATAAAAGTTATGAACAGAATCAGTGACAAATGGTAACCTTGGCGGAGTCCAACTTTCACAAAGAACAAGCCCGACTTACTGCCGGCAATGCGGACCAGGCTCTGACACTGGTCATACAGGGACATAACAGCCCATATCAAAGGGCCCGGTACCCCATACTCCCAGAGTACCCCCCACAAGGTTCCCCGAGGGATGCGGTCGAACGCCTTCTCCAAGTCCACAAAGCACATGTAGACTTGTTGGGCAAACTCCCACGCACCCTCCAGGACCCTGCTGAGAGTGTAGAGCTGGTCCAGTGTTCCACGACCAGGACGAAAACCGCACTGCTCCTCCTGAATCCGAGGTTCGACTATCCAACGGACCCTCCTCTCCAGAACTCCTGAATAGACCTTACCAGGGAGGCTTAAGAGCGTGATCCCCCTGTTATTGGAACACACTCTACGGTCCCCCTTTTTGAATAGGGGGACCACAACCCCGGTCTGCCAATCCAGGGGAACTTCCCCCGATAACCAAGCAATATTGCAGTTGCGTAAGCCAACACAACCCTACAACATCCAGAGCCTTAAGGAACTCCGGGCGAATCTCATCCACCCCTGGGACCCTGCCACCAAGGAGCTTTTTAATCACCTTGGTGACCTCAGCACAAGAGATTGGACGGCCCGACCCAGAGTCCCCAGGCTCCTCTTCCTCAGTGGAAGACGTGCCGGTGGGATTGAGGAGGTCTTCAAAAGTACTCTGCCCACTGACCCACGACATCCCGAGTTGAGCTCAGCAGCACACCACTCCCACTATAAACCGTGTTTGTGGTATACCGCTTTCCCCCCTGAGATGCCGGATGGTGGACCAGAATCGCCTCGAAGCCATGCAGAAGTCGTTCTCCACGGCCTCTCTGAACTCCTCCCATGCCCGAGATTTTGCCTCAGCGACCATCCGAGCCGCATGTCGCTTGGACTGCCGGTACCCATCAGCTGCTTCCTGGGTCCCACAGGCCAAAAAGGCCCAAAAGGACTCCTTCTTCAGGCTGACAGCATCCCTCACTGACGGTGTCCACCACCGGATTCGAGGATTGCTGCCGCGACAGGCACAGATAACCTTGCGGCCGCAGCTCCGGTAAGCCGCCTCGACAATAGAGGTACAGAACATGGCCCACTCGGACTCAATGTCCCCCACCTCCCCCGGAACATGTTCAAAGTTCTCCCGGAGATGGGAGTTAAAGCTCCGTCTCACAGGAGACTCTGCCAGACGTTCCCAGCAAACCCTCACAATACATTTGGGTCTGCCAGGTCTGACCGGCATCCTCCAAGACATGTGGCTGCAGATCAGATGAGACAGTGACAAAGTCGATCATTGAACTGCGGCCTATGGTGTCCTGGTGCCAAGAGCACATATGGACACCCTTATGCTTGAACATGGTGTTCGTTATTGACAATCCATGATGAGCACAGAAGTCCAACAACAGAATACCACTCAGGTTCAGATCAGGGGGGGCCGTTCCTCCCTATCCCCTCGGGGATCATAAAGATTATTGAACTTGAACTTGTTCAAGGTGCTAAGAAGTGATCAAGCTTTAAATCAATGTAAAGCAAAACACTTTTCTTTTTTTAAGTTTTCTACCTTACATATGAATGCTTTGATTTTCAATAAAAATGTTTTTAAAAATCCAACTATATGCTGTTTGTTTATTTTAGGAAAGGTAAGAACACCGGAGTAAACTGTGTCATCCCTTACTTGTGTCTCCTTTAAGATAATGAGCTCCCGCAGCTGGTGGTCCTGCTTCACCAATCGTCTGTCCATCTCTCTGAGCCTTTGCATCTCCTCACTGGGCTGACATGTTGTCGAGTTGATGCTGCAGCTTGCAGCCCCTCCAGGCCCACCGCAGCCTGACACCAACGCTGTGGCTCCCTGATCCTCGGTGGAAATCGAAGGTCCCAGCATCCGCAGGGGTTTGGGGCCGTTGGGGAAATGCCCATGCAAAAACTCGGCCATGTAGCGCATGTGCATCTGTGTGAACTCCTGCATGTGTTGGGCCAGGTCGTGGCGCTGCATCTGCGAAAGACCAGAGCATTTTTTTTTTTTTTAACAAAACGTACGTGACAAATTAAGTTAAAACAAATACAGGAAGGTGTCACGTACCCTTTCCTTACATCCAAACATGCTAAAATTACAGGCAATGGGTACTTTGGGGCAATCTGCATCACAATGTGATTCCATCTGGAAAAATAAACATATATATTTACAAATCAGATGCTGAACAAAAACATTTTGTAAACAAATATGAACAAATATAACAAAAGGAACGTCAATCTGAACTCATTTCCTGTTTCAAATTGAAAAAAAAATAGTATCACTATTGTGATGTGTTATGACAAGGCGAGAGCAGTTCCTCACTCATCTAACAATAGGGAAGCTGTTGCCAAGTTAGCTTATTGGTGTTTATTCACCCGACACCCTTTATAAGGCAGACACTGCAGCACTCGCCTGGTCTCTGACAAGATCCATCTCACAGTACGGACACTCCACATTGGCAAAAGGACACTGCTGCTCGTGAAGCTGAAACAGAAAATAAAACCAGATTATAAGAGGACAAATACTGATCCGTCTTCACAGTTTAAAATTAGTAAGACTATAGTACCTCTTTCTCCTCGTAAGAAAAGCTCGTCATACAGTCTGGACATGAGACAAGTCTTCTTTGGCACGCAACAGTTTTGTGCTCCTCAAGGTAGCTTTTTCTCACATTCTGATGGCACTGTGGGCAAGGCGTGGTGGCAAACTGACACTCTGCCAAATGATTCTGAAACAGACAGAAAATAGATAAACTGGTCCAGATGACATGATTTAACTTTTTTTTTTTAATAGCAATAGAATAGAAAGCAGCTTAAAGCAGTTTAAAACACAAGCACCATTTTATGCCTAACCCAGATACAGTAGTTCCTCGTTTATTGTGGGGAATCCGTACCCTGAAGACCTGCGATAAGTGGAAAACTGCGAAGTAGGAATAGTAGTGCAAGTAGTATTTATATATATATATATATATATATATATATATATATATATATATATATATATATATATATATATATATGCATTTTAAACCCTTCCCCCACTCTTGCAATACTCTAAATAATGTTTCTAAACTCTAAACAATCTAAAAGAGCACAGATGTCATGATTCAGCTCTCTGCCTCCTCTGTTCTTTGCCACCTGCTAGCACTCTTGGCCACGCCCACTTCTCCGGGCTGTGTGCTGAATATCTGATCAGCTGTTTAACTGCAGCAGGAAGTTTATGCAGCAGTACGGGCTGCACAAAGCTGCAGGAGGAAGCTTTTTTTTTTTTTTTTTTGCTGCTCTGGGCTGCACACATGTGCAGCAGGTGTTAAATAATTTTAAATAATTTATTTAAAAAAAAATTTCATGCCGATCTTGCGGCTCATCCATCAATCAGCCAATTGTGTGTCCAAACTTATTTTGAAAAACCGCGACAGAGCGAATCCGTGATAAACGAACCGCTAAATAGCGAGGGACTACTGTATACACAGACATTATGTGGTATGAACCAGAAGACAGAATATCAGTGTAGGAGCTATTTGTCTATTTTTGTTGTCTTTGAATTTAGTTTATTGGTTAATAAATTAGCTTTTTTTCAGGTTTAATTTTTAAATTAGTATTTTTGTTTAATCATAATTGTTTAGAATACATTTGTTGGTTAGTAACTTGTTTAGTTTATATATTTATTTTTATGTGGGATGTGGGTATTAAGAGGCATAAATATGTAGGCTGTAGGGAGGTTTGAAGGCATGTGGGTGGTCACATGGTTTTTTACCAGTCAGAGGTGGGGCAACAGGAGGAGCAGTCATGCAGGAGCAGGTGTGTCAGCAAGGGCTCCTTGTATCAAATTGTTTGGCTGTCAAGTTGGAATAAACCTGCCATAAACTGGATTTTTTTTACCTTTCCTTTGTACTGCGTTAAACACAAACCCACGGAGCAACAAGGGACTATTTGAGCAACGTTCACCTTCAGTTAGATCTTCATTCTTTATTTGTTTTTTGGTTTTCATGGACAAATAGTCACCGCAATCAGTTTTACAACATATGAACATTTCTCCATTTCCCTCACGTGTGACAAAAACATCTCGTCAGCCAGGTCAACAAAGACCCTAACGACTTTCTACTGTGATGGGTGTGTAGTTTTAAGATTGCAAGCAGTCTCTATTGGTGCTTGATCAAGAGCAGTGTTAGCAGATGTTGGTGGATTCTGAGAAACAGAGCTTTGGATGTGGTGAAATAAGACATATGACACTACCGTATTTTCCAGCGTATAAGTCACAGTTTTTTTACATAGATTTATCAGTCCTGTGACTTATGCACGTGTTTTTTCCATATTCATAACACAATTTTTGACTGACACTTTAAATGTCTAAGAACTGCAACAGCGAATCCTCTTGTGCACTCTTTCTTCACTCAGCTGGTGCAGGTGGAGGAACGCTGGAGAGCTAGCGGCTCCAGCCGCAATGGATGGATGGATGGATGGATGGTCCTGCACCGCTCAGGTGAAATTAAGCTTTTTGACCATTAAATAAACACATAATAAACGTGACTTATATATGTTTTTTTACCTCTTCATGACGCTTTTTTGTGAATGATGCAATTTATACTCCGGAGTGACATATACGCTGGAAAATAGGGTACATTAGGGTATGCAAAAAAGGAAAATAAAAAGTTATTGTTCTATTTTTCTGAAGATTAAACTGTAAGTATAATAGACTAGAAAAAAGTCAGATTTATTGATGGAAAAAAGTTGTGACATTGAAAAACAAAGTTATTTTTCAAGACTTCAGCCACAGAAAGCAAACACTACTTTACTCCTGAACTTGGCTGTATTTGTTTCATTTGTTGTTGTATCCGACAGTTATGAGCACTTTTACTGGTTTTACTACAAAATAAAACGCAATACTACCACACTAAGCAGTTGGAGGTACAGTTTATGCCTCCTGCTGCAACACAATTTTCAGAAATTATTTTAATCCTTCACCATAAGTCACAAACAAACACTGAGTGCTAATCTCAAATGGAGTTTAGACCTCTGTATTGGAGAAACTAAAGAGACTCAAGGCTCAACACATGAGAGCCTGCACTTCAAGACAAGATCATAAATGTTAAATGTCCCGAACTGGGCAAGACAGTCCTGGTTTTTGCCCCTGCATCTTGCATAAAGTGGGTGGGCCATCTGAATGTCCAGCACTTGACCAGTGCTTGTTTGACTTACCCGTTTCAATGCCAAGCTGCATCTGTGTGGGGGGAGGAATACAGAGGGGCTTTTTTACTGGCTTCCTACAACAGCGGGTCAGAATGGTAAATGGACTGCACTTATATACTTTTCTATCCTATCAAGATACTCAAAGCTCTTTACAACAATCTGTGTCCTCATTTATCCGTTCATACAGCACTCTACTAAATACAAAGAATAATCAGAGCTTTATCACATTCATACACTGACGGGACACACATCAGGGACAATGAGGGGTTCAGTGTCTTGCCCAGGGACACTTCAGCATGTGGCTACTGCTGGAATCGAACCCCCAACTCTTGAATTGGAGGACAACTGCTCTAACCACTAAACCACAGCCGCCCCCAGTTATTTTGGTAGAAATACCATAATACCAATACCAGTAACTGAAAAATGCACAGGTTGGAGCATATTAAAGTCCATGCTCAATAATCCAGGTAAACAATCTAACAACGTTCGGTGAAGTCTTGTTCAGATTGATGAAGTCCTTCGGATGAAGGACGAAACATCTTTCAACAAAAAAAGAAACCGTCCAGATGACCTGACAGAACGTTGTTGGAGTATAATTTGTTTTTTGTACGTTTTTTTAATTATTTTTATAATTTTGCGTCGCTGGCTCACCAGTTCATACAGGTGTCCTTCACTGCCCTCAGGGAATGTTGGCAGGTAAGCCTCAGCTGTGCACCTCAAGAATAGGGGACAAATGTTCAGATTTTGGACGGAGAAGACAGATGGTTTGAGAGGAGGGTGAAGAAAGTCATTTATGTCAAACTTAAAAAAAAAAAAGACTAAACCAAGGAGGTCTCTCAGATTTGAACTTTCAAAAGCTTTTAACGCAGCATTAAACCTGACTTTCAGCTTCACTCCAAGTCCGCTTTGCCATTGATAAGAACGACTCCACTCGGCTCTCGTTTTATCGGTTCTTCTCAGGTGTAGCTAATTTTCCACTGTGACTAGTTTCCCTGATCTGTGAACGGATCGCAACAGATCATTGAGTTCAAGCCACTCTGCCCGTTGTGGTTCTTAATCGCCCTCTAATCCGACCTCATGTCTTTAGCTTATCCTGGCACTGCTTATAAGTCCAGGTGTAGCCATGCTGGACTGTCATCTGCGATCTCTCTGTAAATGTGCTCATTTCTTGTGGCGCCATCCGTCACCGTGATCAGAGAGGAAGTGGAGGTTCAAATGTAGTTTGTGGTTTTGCTGGGTGGGTCATCCAGTGACGGGGGACACCTCCGGATAGAGGGCGAAACGTCTTTCTACAAAAATTAAACTGTCCAGATGACCTGACTGAGTATTATTGGATTTGGTACCTGGATGATTGAGCATGAACTTTGACGTCTTGAACCACTTTGCCTGTGGCTGCCTGCCTGGGAGGAGTCGACGGGGGACAGGACAGCCCACAGAAACTACCTTATCTCCAGCAAAATGGTTGGTCCACTTCAGGAGTGTACGGCTTGGTGGGGAAACAGTTTACTTGGACCTCAGACTGATGAAGCCCTCCGGATGGAGGGCGAAACATCTTTCTACAAAAATTAAACTGTCCAGATGAAATGACTGAGCATTATTGGATCCAGTGACGTAGCTCCGCTGGCCAGTCAACAACTGCTGTCTGCTTACGTCAAAGCCGGCACCTCAGAACAGTCTGGTTGGAACCTCAAACAAGGTGGTCCTATAAACAGGGCTGAGTGGGGGTGGGTACCAGCAGTGGGCAGACCCTTGTGGTGTAGAGCCGAGGACAGTTGAGACAGTGGCAAAGTGCCATAATTCAACCTCTATGCATGTGACTAAAACAGCTCTTTAATGAGAGAGGCAAACTAAAACACTAATGACTTTCCATTGTGAGGAGCCTCTCAAGCAGTTTAAAAAGCTTGGAACTCCACACTCTCCAGACTTTACTGAAATTGAGCAATCATCCCAGATGGGAAGAAAAACATCAACTACAGAAAAGAAGTCCAGTCGTTTTGTTTTTAATCGTATTGTTTGGATTAACCTAAAGAAGTTGTCTCTAAGCATCTGACGTTATATGCTTTCTTTTATGACTGTCTACTGTTGTCATCACTCTTTGTTTAAAACAGGTATCTCTTGTAAATGAGTCTTCAAGGCTCAATGACACTAACCTGTATAAATAAAAGGTTAAGGTTGAATTAATTTTCATGCATTTTTTACTTACTTTTTTTACTTGTTTTGTGTTAAATGTATGAGCCTGACTTCAACAACAAATCTCCATTTCATGGAATGTAATGAACAATAAGTTATACTGAATTGAATTAACAATAGCTTAGAGTATTGCTCTTCAATAAGATGGAGCCTGAACCCGAGACCACCATAAATTTTGGGTGTATTCAGAAGATAAAACTGTTTGAGACTCTTAATGAGAAGAGCTGAAACACATTGTGTGGGTGATGCTGCAGTAATAAACTGCACCTCGGACTGCAACAGCCCTCAAATATAATAATAGCCTAATAAATGAAACAAATAAAGTTTGGTTCAAGAGAAAAGGAAGGTTCACCTTCTCTGGCTAAAGACTTGAAAGTCTTTCTTTTTAATAGCAATGAATTAACAATTTATTTCTGTCAATAATAATTATACTTTAAGAAATTAAAAAACAACATTGTTTACTCGTTTTTTTTTTTCTGAGTGGCACTAACGTGGCATGGTAGAAAAAGGTAGAGTAAGATGAATGAAGCCTACGGTTCACAATCGTGTTATGAATGCATGGTACTTGAAATATTATGATCTATGATTTATCAAAGTACCAGCAGTCCTTTGCAATATTAATACTGTTCTCACTCATGTTGTGATGTCAGTAAATTTCCAATATACTGTGCAGCCCTGCTTAGTTCTAGAGGAAGTGTGTTAATTAAAAGTCTAACCTCTAACTGTCGGAGCTCCATCTTCACACCACAGCCAGAGTTTGGACAGCGAACAGTAAGGGATAAAATCTCCCTCTTGGCAAAGTTATCAGGAAACAGCTGGTCCTCTGACAGCATCTCATTGTCCACAGGGCACCGCTGTCCTGTATCACTGTTTTGCAAGAGGAAGAATAGCAATTATTGAGGCAAAGGTTTTTTTTTTTATCAGTTTCTGCATGAGGGTCTTATATTGGTGCCAAAAAGCTACAAAAACGTTGCATCATTTAGACATTTTCTTAACAATATAAAGTTCTCTGGGAAGAAAAAAACAAACAAACATACAATGCACTTTGAGGTTGGTGTTATTGGCTGTTGTAAACCTTTATCAGTGTGTTACAGTGTTAAAGTCAGAGCGGTGAAATAACCTACCGAATAGACTTTTCAATACAGCTCTTGCAGAAGCGGTGACCACAGCGTGTTTGTATAGCATTCCTTAAAGCCATGAGGCAGATAGGACACTCATATTTACTCTCCAGGGGTGGGTCAAACTCTACATCGTAGCCCTGAATGGGGGCAGCAGACTGAAGACTGCTGGAGGAGGTACCCATCATGGTGCCAGGACTTTCTGAAGGGCTTAGAAGAGATTCTCGTTCCTTTTCCATCATCGCCAAGGCACAAGCAGTCATCTCTCCACCACCTGCGCCATCATAGCTGTCCTCCTCCAACATCCCCTTGGTGCTATCAAAGCAAGACATCTGTGGAACTGAACAAACAGCATAAAAAGTGAAGAGCGTACATAATGCTGGGGAAGGGAGGGATACTTTGGCCTCTTCATTTCTCCAACAGCTGGAACAATCAGTAAATTCTCAGAACAGTAAGATCATGTAAGTTAATTAGGCTGTTACCAAGGCCATGGTAACTTATAATAAAACTCAAAGAAAAGGCTAAATAAAATGTATTTGGCTTGAACAAATGATTGGATAATACACATCGGGGTTAAAAACAGGTTGAAAGAGATTTATACTCATCCCATTGACCGTTAAGTTAAACTTCCTTGTAAAACGTCCTCACAATTTTAGAAGAACCTAAACATGCCAGTAAACATGTCTGTAAACCATTTAAAAACATTTTCTTTAACGAATAATAAGATGTGTCCATTTAAAATAATGTCTTCCTATGAATAAGTTTTTCAGCTCTTTGGCAGTGTAGAATTAAATATCCATCCATCCATTATCCTTATCCACTTCTTCCTTTTGAGTCAGAATTAAATATACATATATTTTTGGTTTGTTTCCATAGGCATTCTGTATTTACAAGGCTGTACTTGTAAACAAAAAACATAACATGATACTAATGGCATTTATATATATATATATATATATATATATATATATACAGGTCCTTCTCAAAAAATTAGCATATTGTGATAAAGGTCATTATTTTCCATAATGTAATGATAAAAATGAAACTTTCATATATTTCAGATTCATTGCACACCAACTGAAATATTTCAGGTCTTTAATTGTTTTAATACTGATGATTATGGCATACAGCTCATGAAAACCCAAAATGCCTGTCCCAAAAAATTAGCATATTTCATCCCACCAATGAAAGACAAGTGTTTTTAATACAAAAAACACCAACCTTCAAATAATCATGTTCAGTTATGCACTCAGTACTTGGTCGGGATTCCTTTTGCATGAATGACTGCTTCAATGCGGCGTGGCATGGAGGCAATCAGCCTGTGGCACTGCTGAGGTGTTATGGAGGCCCAGGATGCTTCGATAGCGGCCTTAAGCTCATCCAGAGTGTTGGGTCTTGCGTCTCTCAACTTTCTCTTCACAATATCCCACAGGTTCTCTATGGGGTTCAGGTCAGGAGAGTTGGCAGGCCAATTGAGCACAGTAATACCATGGTCAGTAAACCATTTACCAGTGGTTTTGGCACTGTGAGCAGGTGCCAGGTCATGCTGAAAAATGAAATCTTCATCTCCTTAAAGCTTTTCAGCAGATGGAAGCATGAAGTGCTCCAAAACCTCCTGATAGCTAGCTGCATTGACCCTGCGCTTGATAAAACACAGTGGACCAACACCAGCAGCTGACATGACACCCCAGTGACTGTGGAAACTTGACACTGGACCTCAAGCAATGTGAACTCTGTGTCTCCTCTCTTCCTCCAGACTCTGGGACCTTGATTTGCAAAGGAAATGCAACATTTACTGTAATCAGAGAACATAACTTTGGACCACTCAGCAGCAGTCCCAGGTGAGATGCTTCTGTCGCTGTTTCTGGTTCAAAAGTGGCTTGACCTGGGGAATGCGGCACCTGTAGCACATTTCCTGCACACGCCTGTGCACGGTGGCTCTGGATGTTTCTACTCCAGACTCAGTCCACTGCTTCCGCAGGTCCCCCAAGGTCTGGAATCGACCCTTCTCCACAATCCTCCTCAGGGTCCGGTCACCTCTTCTCGTTGTGCAGCGTTTTCTGCCACACTTTTCCTTTCCCACAGACTTCTCACTGAGGTGCCTTGATACAGCACTCTGGGAACAGCCTATTCGTTCAGCAATTTCTTTCTGTGTCTTACCCTCTTGCTTGAGGGTGTCAATGATGGCCTTCTGGACAGCAGTCAGGTCGGCAGTCTTACCCATGATTGCGGTTTTGAGTAATGAACAAGACTGGGAGTTTTTAAAAGCCTCAGGGATATTTTGCAGGTGTTTAGAGTTACGTCGTTGATCCAGATGGTTAGGTTAATAGCTTGTTTAGAGAACCTTTTCATGATATGCTAATTTTTTGAGACAGGCATTTTGGGTTTTCATGAGCTGTATGCCATAATCATCAGTATTAAAACAATTAAAGACCTGAAATATTTCAGTTGGTGTGCAATGAATCTGAAATATACGAAAATTTCATTTTTATCATTACATTATGGAAAATAATGACCTTTATCACAATATGCTAATTTTTTGAGAAGGACCTGTATATATATATATATATATACATACATACATACATAAAATTACTGTAAATATGAAATGAAAAACAACAAAAAATATTATTTTTTTTAATTATTGATGTAAATTGCAGCTGCATGGTCCACGCATGGCAGGCACCAATTATTCTACACCTCGGAAGTGAGTCTACATTTCTATCTCCGTTAATGTGGCCTGAACCACAATGTCTACCCCCACAAAAGTTATATCAGAACGACCGGCTCGCCCCGTGATGTGTGCTATTACTTTTATTGGCATTTCGAGTTACCATGGCGACGTAATTTGTGAACAAAGATGCAATATTTCACCAACACCAGGAACTAGTTGGTGACTGCCCACTTATTATTTTACACCTGATATGCGTATCTTTTTCAACTTTAATGAGGCCCAAAACACAACGTGGACCTTCACAAAAGTTATATCAAAATGACCGGCCCGGCTCTGAGATGTGTGCTATTACTTTTATTGGCAACTGGAGTTACCATGGCGACATATTTTGCTAACAAAGCTGCCAATTTTCCCATAGGAAAATGAATAGGAGAAAACTTTTCAAAGAAACTGTGTAACATATGGAACCATTTTGGTTCAACATGCAAGGAAGGCAGTGCATTATGCAATGCACGGAAGGCACCTATTATTATTATTAATTAGTAAAAATGACAACAGCAATTATTATTAATTTTAATTATTATAAATAGTAATATTAATATCTAATACTAATTATAATTATGAATATTAGTAATAATAATGATTAATACGTTAACAGTTATTACTATTAATAATTACTTAGTAGTGTTAACTATTGCTATTATTAATTCTTAATGTTAATATTTCTTATTATTAATAATTTAATAATAAATAGGCAGTCCCCGTCAAAGTTTCTCCAGGAACTTTCTAGTTGTACCCAAGTCCTTGTTATAAAGCTTTGATTTCTGTTCAAACAATAGTTGTATGCCTCTTTATGAACAAACAAAAGCCTTCAGGTTTCTGTTGAATAGAAATGTGCAGAATGCATGGCATGCTGTGTCATTTCTCATCTTCAGGTCAGTTATGAGGCATTCAAAGACAGTTGCTACTAACTTACTGACAGTAGTGTTGAATTGTTTACATAAAATGAGGCTTTACTTCAGCTCACATTTAGCCATAACTTTAAAATAACAGCATTCAACACTTTACTTAGCTAGTTGAATACACATAAGTGAGTTATCGTAAAATCAAATGCGAACATTTATCAAAACACGCATGAACGCTCCGAAGACGTCATGTCTAAGCTGTCAGTTTAAGGTTTAGTTAGACTCAGTTCATGACTGTCATGCCTCAGATGCGGAACTGGAGCTACAATGACAGTAAAAAGCTTCAACTTACAGGTAGAAGAAGCTGACTAAAGCAGCGGGACAAACACAAACACGTCTTCAGGCTGCAGCGGTGTGAGCGCGTCTGTGAAAGCTGCCAATATTCTATAAATGTACCTACATTTGCCTTGAGGGGGAAAAATGCCTCGAAGTTTTCGTTTTTGATTTCCTGTTTTCCGTTTTCCGAACGTCACCAAAGATGATCTGAACCGTCGGTTAGTTCGGTCGTCTGGCACGCGAGCGCCCCCGCGCGGCGGGAGAGCTGTGTCGCAGCAGCGCGAGCAGGAGATCGAAAAAAATGGCGGAGCTCGGGAAAATCTGTCCCGAGTCTTTGCCCTGCCGTGTCAACTACACGCAGAAAACGTCGTGTCAAGGGAAGCTGTTCATCTTCCTTTGTGTACTTATAGTGGATTCCGGAGGAGCTACGACTCACTGGGTTGTCACGGAGGACGGAAAAATTCAACAACAAGTATGTAGCTCATTGACCTGCTAACGCTATGTGGCTAGCTGCAATGCTATGTGTCTCGAATTAAAATCATTGTGTTGTAACGTAACTGTAGTATTTATTTGAAGTTGACAACACGTGTCAACTCTGGCATGTTGCATGTTTGGGGACACGGCATTAATACATCTTTTAAGTCACGTATCTATTGAGTAACATAAGACTTACTTAAGCAGCGTTACTTTTACTTTATTGATCAAGTAAATCAGGATGATCAGTATTTCCAGCCTCATTTGATATCTGTCTTGGAAAACCAGAGAGATTAGATTTTTGAGTAATTTAATGCCAACTACTGTCATCTACAGTGAGAACTCGTGGTTGTTTATGTGTCAAGTGACTGACAGAAGGAATTGGCACGTCAGGGAATAGACTGTTCTGTACACAACTCATGAGTGTCCACAGCCATTACTGTGTCTTTGTTTCAGGTGGACTCACCTTTAAACTTAAAACATCCTCATGATGTTGTGATCTTGATGAGGCAAGAAACTCGTGTGAACTACCTCAAGAAGCTGGAGGTGAGTTGAGTTTACCTTTCAGTCCTTTTTGTGGTTTCCATCCAAGCTTTTAAAAACCTAAACAAAGGGGACGTAGGCCTCATTTTCCGCTTGTTCGTCTTTAATCATACTTGAACAGAAGCAGCTGGTAGCACAGAAGATTCATATTGAGGAGAATGAAGACCGAGACACAGGTTTGGAGCAGCGGCACTACAAGGAAGATGCAGACTGTGTGCTGGCTAAGGTGCCCCTAGGAGACCTGGATCTGTATGATGGCACATATATCTCCTTAGAAAATAAAGACATCAAGTAAGCTTTCAGTTTAATTACAAACCAAGGAATTTAGATTTTGACTAAATGACTGTGTACCTTTATGATTCTCTTGAAATTATAATTTCTCTCCTTTTCTTTGCAGTCCTGAAGACTATGTAGATATACAGTCTGCTCTGCCTCCTGATCTAGAAAAGCCAGACTGTGCAAAAATCTTTGAACTACCGTATAGTATCCATTCTTTCCAGCATCTCAGGGTGAGTAGAGGCCAACTTTTATCAAGTGTCAAAATATTGGGATAATGTGTTGTAATTTATTGCAATTATATGTTTATTATGCAGTTTTTGTGCTGTTAGACATAGTAGGCTGATTCAAAAAGTTTTCGATTTAGAGAAGTGGTTCCAGTCTGTGTGCTTTTATAGGAACTGGGAAAAGCAAATCCTGCTTCAGTATGTTTTTAACTCTTTTTGTATTTGTATTACAACAATCAGCTGTTACAATTTTATTAGAAATGTATTTTGGTCATTTTAAAAACAAATACAGAATAAAAAAGTAAATCCACAAAAATTTGGGCTCATGCTGAAAGCAGTCGTACTATATGATGGGATTTCAATACAGGGGTCAAGCTTTGTGGATATAACAGCTTTGATTTGTTGCACGTTTGACATATTGTATGAATTCTTAATTAATTTTATGAATCAATGCATACAGCTGAAACAACTGGCTTACTTTATAACAATTTACATCAAACTTATGAGCAAAGTGTGGGAACTATTTAGGATCAGCGTTACATACTGCAGGAGAATATCACTCGCAGAAAGAAATGTAAATCAGGACATGAAATATTGGATTCAATTTCAGGACATTTTAGATCATCTTCTTTGTTAAAACATGTTTTAGGACATTCAACTTTGAAAAAAATGATCAGTAACTAAATTAAAACAATCTAAATATTTTGCACTTATCCTTCTTTCAAGACTGACTACAATTTTACATTTGTAAAACCTCAGTAACCTGTTTATCTGATGACAAAGTCTACTTTAGTTTTATTTAGTGTGTATTAGAAATGAGTTGTTAAATCAGTTGAAAGCCACTTTGGTTTTCATTTGTTTGTTTGGTTGTTTTTTTTTGCCAAGATGCAAACTTTCAAATAAAGATGTCACTCATTTTTTGGATTATTTTAACATAATGACAGAAACAAGCACGCTTACAGAAAACCTTGAGATTTCTGGCAGTATTTTTGTAAATAACGCTTTATAGGGTAATATATATATATATATATATATATATATATATATAAGTAATGTGAAACTATCTAAATTTATACATACTATTATACTATTGTTTTTCCATTCTAGGGTGTACAAGAAAGGGGAAACCTGACGTCTCCACTTCTTTCTACGGATGATCCCATCTTTAGTTCGCTGTCTAAAAAGCTGGGCCGCAGTGTTGATGAGGTGGGCTATCACATCTATCAGAGCCTGCTGAGGGTAAGCTTTATCTGTTTCACTTTGCCTCCTTAAATACACACAAAAAAATTAGTTTTCTAATCCAATCTTGCAGATATTGGACAAAATATTTATGTCTTTCAGTATATACATGAGGAACTGGCTTTTCTTTTAGTCAATATCAGATCACATTTGCTCAGATGCATGAGATGTTGTTAGTCGTATCCAGATATTTACTAACACTCTGCATTGCTTCATGGTGTGTTGTGTGTTTCAGAACTCATCTTCCTGGGTGCTGTACAACATGGCATCGTTTTACTGGCGTATGAAAAATGAGCCTCAGAGAGCAGTGGACTGTGTAGTGCGTGCTTTGCATTTCTCTCCAAGGTAATGTCAGGCTAGCCACAAGGCTTCTACACTAATGCACCATCTACTGTGCAGAACTGCTCACAGGTGCGTCTCTGCGTTTGCTGTTCTTGCAGGCAGCATAAGGACGTGGCGTTGATCAACATGGCCAACGTTCTGCACCGTGCCCATTTCTCAGCAGATGCTGCCATTCTCGCCCATGCTGCTCTTGACCTTACCTCAGACCTCTTCACCAGTCAATACACTTTGGGTAACATTTATGCTGTAAGTTAAAAAGGAAACCTCTCAACTCACCGTCTCTTTAAGTCCAATCCATGTAGGCACCTATTGCTTTTCATGAAAAATGAAATGAAAAATCAAGCAAGTATTGTGTGTTTTTTAACAAGGTGGGTTTTTCTTGGAAATTAAAATCTTGGCACCAAATTAAAACAACACTATTGTATCATACATAAATTATGTAGCGCTTAGAGTCTGAAGAGTGTTATTGTAGCGTGTACAACTGTGTATATTTTAGTTTGTTTCTTGGATTGCTGCATGAAATGAATCACAACCTGACCTGTACCATAGTGCAGTCTTTAGGTCTTCTCTTTTGCTGCTGTCTTCCCAGATGCTTGGGGAATACAACCACTCAGTGCTGTGTTACGAGCAAGCACTGCAGGCCCAGCCAGGCTTCGAGCAGGCCCTGAGGAGGAAGCATGCAGTGCTCTGTCAGCAAAAGCTGGAGCAGCGCCTAGAAGCCCAGCACAGGTAGGCGAGAGCTTACGCACACACAATCAGCTTCTTTATCTTTAGATTCTTCTGTTAGTGTATCTGACAAAGCATTTTTTTTTTCTTTCTTGGTGAAAGATTTCCCTGGAAATGGTTTATTTGCTTAATGCATATTTATGTGTAGAAACACTTTTTATATTTATTTAACAAATTGGTTTGTATTATTGTGTGAAAAGATAATGGATGGATAATTAAATGGTGCATAGCACTGAAGGTTTGTAGACCAATGTCAGTCTGATCAATGACTAGATGGTGTAAATTTGAGTTGTGACTTTAAAGAAAATGTAATACTGTTAGAGAGCCTCTGGTTTTTTACGATAAATTGACATAAATGTGTCACTATAGCAAGCTAAATACTGTATGGTAGTTGGCACAATGGCTGCCCTTTTTGCCCAATTCCTGCCTCTTTTTTTTGCCAGCCATCTTATGTTTTCCATCTTTATTGCCCCATGCCTGTAGATCCCTGCAGCGAACGCTGAATGAGCTGAAGGAGTATCAGAAGCAACACGACCACTACCTCCGCCAACAAGAGGCACTGGACAAACATAAGCTGCTGCAGGAAGAGCAGATCCTGCGCAACATTATCCATGAAACTCAGATGGCCAAAGAAGCTCAGCTTGGTGAGATGCCATGCACAGTAACTCAGTCAGGGCTGGTCAAAAATGTAGTATCATGATATAAGTATGGAGATTATAATTTAGCTTGTTTTATTCTGTGTAAAATGTAGCTCTTGATTACTAGAACAAAATGACATTTGAAGATCCCTCTGTTTTTTTTAAAGAGCAAACTTCACCCACATATTGAGGACAAGTAAAAGTTGTAGGGATGCACAATATTATCAGCATTATATCAGTATCGGCCGATATTAGCATTAAAGTTAAATATCGGACATCAGCCATTCCATCAAAATAACGCACCGATATAAAAGGTGCTGTTTTTGTACGACAACCCAGTAACAAGGATGCCTGCAGCAGCAGCACAACGTGATGACGTCACGTGCGCCTACCTGATCTCATGGCAGAGAGGAAAATTTAAAATGTCGTCGGTGTGGAAGGTTTTTTTTATCGTTTGTGAGGATGTCGAATTCTGAAGATCTATGGACTATGTTGAGCCTCGCTACATCGTCCCCAGTCAGAGATGTTTTTTTCTGACGTAGCCTTACCCGAGTTACAAGCTGTCATTTCTGACATCATTGAGAAGCTAATAGCCGATAGCACTTGGGTCAGTTTTACCACAGACATCTGGACGTCGTGTTAGCCCCGTTGGTGATTAGTTTTACGGCACAATGGATAGACAAAAACTTTGAACTTAAAAAGGCTGTCCTTTTTTTTTTTTTTGACATTCAAAAAACAAAACAAAAAAAATGTAGCAATGTTTCGTCTTTCATTCGAAAAACTTCCTCAGTCTGAGGTGCTGTATTCAGCTCAGTCTTATAAATAGCACCTGAGCTGAATACAGCACTTCAGACTGAGGAAGTCTTTCGGATGAAAGACGAAACGTTTCTACATTTTTTTTTTGTTTTGCTTTGTTTTGCTTTTTGAATGTCCAGAGGACCACATTTAACTTTTTTAGATTTTTCTACCTGGATTATTGAGCATGCATCAGGATTTTTATCAAATGACCCTTCTGTGTCTGTGGTGACTGTTGTATAGGGTCACCTGATCAACTTCAGTTATTGGTATACTGGTGCTGTCTGTTGACATAAACTTTAAGCTTCTGCTCAGAGTCCTCCATCATAACTCAAATGTTATACTTTAACCAATCATTAAAACTGATACATTCTAAAAACGACTAGTAAATGTTTCTGCTTTAATCATGTTTCTCAACACCTTTAATATCTGGAAGTTATGTAAAATCCAGGTATGTTAAACTCAGTCAAGACTTGGATAAAAATCAAATTCCTTAAAGTTTTTTTTTCCAGTTTCTTTTTGTGTGTGTGTGTGTCTTTTAGTTTCACTTAAATCCTTGTGATCCTGTTAACTATTTACAACAAGGTTTCTGATTGTTAAGTGGTCACGCCTCAGTAGTTTATCTATAAGGCACCTCCTTTCTAGTAAATGATTCAATTCAATACTAATCCAGGTTTATATGGTTCCGTGTTGAACAGTAGGCGTAATTTAATAAAGTGGGTTCCTATAGAAATCGTGCACGTGCATGCTATAAGCAATGAATGACCTCGCAGTGTGGAGTACCTGAGAGGTTGGATGTGTGATGTGTTTCAGGGAACCATCAGATGTGTCGGCTGGGTCAGCAGCAGCGCAGCCTCTACTGCCCTTTCGACCTGCCTGTGCGTTACCACCGAGGTGACCTTTTCGAACATGTCCAGTATGTCCAAGTAAGTTTGGAAAAGTGAACTGTAGGACACACATCGTCATTCCAAGGGTTTCTTTATTTCTGTTGTGTGAAGGCTGAGTCAACACTTTCACTGTTTTCCATTTTCTCTATAAATGTTGCTGCTTCATTTATCTTCCATATGTTTTTAGTTACATAACTAGTTGCACATTTTTTGTGCTTTTTTTAACAATTCGTATATCAAAACGTACATTTACCTCATTAAGGACATTCCTGCTATGAGTTTTTGTATTTGTATATAGTTTATACTTCTTTAACTAGCTGAAATTAATCAATGTACCGGCGTGTCATAGTCACATGACCAATGTACATGGCTCTGGCACTCTGTTTCATTTTGTGCCAACAGTACAGACTTCAACACCAGTTTTTAAGTTGTGTTGATAGGCCACGTAAAACCAGAGTAATGATGAATAATTCATGCAATGTCTTTTTTTTCTGAAGATATTTGAAGCAAGTTGCTTCGGGAGGCAGCAACAAGCAAACTCCACACCTTTTTTGACAAAGGTGCAAAGTTATTTGACTAGCACCAACAAAAACGATGTAAGTAGAAGAATGAGGCGTGAAATCTATGTGAAAGTTCAGCGACGTTCACAACACGGCAAGAGCAAATGTTGAGATTCAAGAGAGTTGGTGCTTGATTAGTTAGGGTGTAGTGAGGGTTTTTTTTTGTTTAGTTTTCGTTTACTCTGTTATTGTTAAATTAGATAAAGAGGCAATTTTTGAATGTGGAGCAGGCGCATCAGCTTTTGAGATGGGGGAGGGCGCTGTGGCAGAGGAGGGAGCCGTGGAAGTAAAGATGGAGGAGGCAAGTTCAGTCAGAAGAGGAAGGCGCACAGTTGGAGATGGAAGAGGGAAGTGTGGAGGCCGAGTCCGATTCAGAGGGTTAGAACTTTGATGTTGAAGTGGGCAACCCTTTGTTTGTTTAGAGGAGGAGCGTGCACCGAGTGCCACTCAGAGGTCCGCCCTGAGGGCGGCGCAGCCACCAGGTCCAGATCCCCGCTAGCTGGAACGTCAGAGCTACACATCAGCTCTGAGCCTTGGAAAACAGAGGTGGATGTAGATGCTGCCCCGGAGGGAAGCAGGTTCCAGCCGCAAAGAACGCCTGAGCTCCAGCTGGATACACTTTCCCCACAAAGTCCTAAAGAGCTTTGTTTATTTATTTGCCACTGACACAGTCAACCGTCTGTAGCAACACAAGAAGGCAGAACAAAATATGCAATCTGAAAAAAATATAAACGGACTGACATTGAAACTGAAGGTTTATAAAACTTTGACCTCCTAATTTATGTTTGGTATCGCTGCCAAAGTATTCAAGACTACTGGAAACAAAATCATGTTTTTTCTGTGCCCCTTCCTACAACCAGATTTTGATCCATATTTTGGAATATTCATCTGCGCAATCCTGATCAGGACGTTCAAAATCATCTGAAAACGGGAGTAGCGGGCCATGACTAACTGTTTCGGATCCGTCCTCTTTATGACGACATCCTCAGTTCATGTCTGGCCTATGAGCTGAAGAGGGAGCTGGCAGTGGATGAGCGAATGATGGCAACCAGGGCCAACTGGAACGGCCCAATATCTGAAGGACAAACCTACAAAATAGTATATTATTATTTTTTGCTCTTGCAGACTCGAGCAGCGGCTACACTATCAGGCTTGGCATTTACACTGGCAAGACTTACTCAGTCAGAGCACGGATTGTCACATCAGGTTGTCCTAAGCCTGTCTTCGCACGGTGTACCATATTTATATGAATATTTACACCAGCTCCAAACTATTTATGGGCCTGGCTGTAAAGAAGTTTGGAGTGTGTGGGACCTCCAGAGAGAGGAGGAAAGGGTGCTCCAGAGTTTGAGGAAATGCTCTCACACACACAAAAACAAGAGAGGAAAAGTGAGATGGCTCAGAGAAGAACCACTTGTCTTTGTGAAGTGGATGGACACAGGGGGGTCTCGGTGTATTCCACCATCCATCCTGGCTTTTCGGGTGAGATAGTGAGTAGAAGGGTGAAGGATAGAGATGGGCGGTGATGGACTGTGAAAGACGTTCCATTCCCCACACTGGTCCTGGCCTACAATAAGCACATGGGTGGAGTTGTTTGTCTGACCAGCTTATTCAGTATTACTCCACCCATAGATAAGACCCTGCTGATGCATTTTTTTGGACATTGCATCAACAAATGCTTTCATTCTGCACCGAGAGATCAGCAGTGCCAAGAAGGAAAAGCCAGTGACACTCAAGGACTTCATGGTGGAGTGCTGTGTCAGATTTGCAATGTGGACACGATGGGTGTTCTCCAGAGAAGGAGAGAGGAGCACATTCCTGTGTTGATCATCCAAACTCAGAAGCTGACCATAAAGGCACCAAAGGCAGGCTGAGGTGCAAATGTTGCCACCTGGCAAAGAACAGACACACCATGGAAGTGTTGGACCTGTGATGAGCCCCTCTGCCTGGACAGACTGCTTCTTTGAGTAGCACAAATAATGTCAGGCATTTTATTGTGAAGCCTCATCTCTCCGTCCAGAAACACCTGAGGAAATGATTGCATTTCAATGTAAATAGTGTAAATAACTTTGTTGTTTGCTAAATTTGTACATATGTTTATGAAATATAGTGTTTATATTTGCTTTTTTATTTGCAAAATTATACATTATAAATAATTGTGGTTTTCACAGTAATCATTTTTTCTACTCGGATTGTATGGGGTTTGTGTGTGTGTGTGTGGTGTGTGTGAGAGATTTTAGGTCTTCTGTGTTGATACAGTTGGTCAAAAGTATACATTTCACTAAATTCACACAGGAGATGATGTACTGAACAAAATGACACCAAACATGGCAGGTTAAACCATTGTTTTGGTGAAATATTTATGCATAATCAAAATAATTCCAAAAACATCCAATTTCCCCGTTGACTCCAGAGGGTGAAGCCATCTTTTTCCTCATTGAAAATGGTTTGTGCTAATTCTGCCCTGCCAATGCTAATTTTGCCTGGTTTTTAACTTGTATTTTCCCCTGCAGGTGCAAGTTTGGCCCTATCAATGCCAATTCTGCTAGTGCTACTTGTACTATTGCTAACTCTACTGTTAAAGTTCAAGTTCAGTAACTTTTTATTGTTGTTCAAAATTGGACACCTCACTGTACAAATTTAAACCCAGCTAAGTTGCATTTCACTGCATCGGGTATAAAGAACATAAAATTTAAACATTACAAACAAAGGTGACAATGCTCGGAGCAAGAGGATTAAGATATCGCTATTTCTAATGCTAATGTTGCTGATGCTGCTATTGCCCTGCTTTTTGCTAATGTTTCACTACTTTTGGATCTTAGCGAGTGATTTACAGCTTCCAAGTAGTGTTTCACTATTTCTGTCTTTTGGTTGGTGTTTTCCTGCATTTTGCCAGGGTTTTGCTACTTCTGACCTCTAGCTAGCATCCCCTGGTTGTTGCTAGTGTTTTGATCATTCTTGATTTAAGCTAGTATTAAGCTAAACTTTGGTATAGTAGTAGGTAAGAGCAATCTCCGATACGTACAGTAGTCCCTTGTTTATCACGGGGGAGCTGTACCCTGAAACCCCCCTATAGTTGAAAAACCATGACGTAAGAATAGTAGTACAAGCAGTAAGTAGCGGAGATCTGACATGCTGCAGGAGGAAGCTTCTCCTGCAGCTGTGGGCTGCACACAGGTGCAGCAGGTGCTAAATAATTTTAAACAAGTTGTGTTAAATAAAAATTCCATGCCAATTGTCATGTCCAATCTTATCTTGAAAATACGCGAAGTAGCGAGTCTGCGAAAAACAAACTGCGAAGTAGCGAGAGACTACTCTGAATGCTCTATATTGAGCCATTAACTGTTAGTGTGTACCCATTTTGTTTGTTAGCAAAATTATTATCAACCACTAGACACATTTTTAGGAAAGTATTCACTGCATGAAACAGGTTATCTTTTTTATTTATTTATTTTATTTATTTATTTAATTTTTAAACAGGAAAAGATTAAAAGAAATCGGGCCTGGCTCAGCATAATTGCTGTTTTACAGCAGGTTCCTGTTCTGCAGAACATAAATTAAGCACACAGATATTCAGCACCACACCTCATCAATAGACATACAGACACATCACATTACAAAACACAAGAACAGCAGCATTTACACGGCAGACACCTAACAGTGATTGCAAAAGAAGGAGTCTAACAGATGACGCACATGAGTCTTCTTAAAAAGTGCCAATGTTGAGATGGATTTCACATGTTGTGGAGTGTCATTCCATGCTTTGGTGTAAACATAGAAAAACGATCTCTGTCCATAACAGTTTTTAAAGGCTGGTAGTGGCAATTGTCCGCTTGTAGCAGCTCTAGTTGAGCGACCATTTCCACACTTGGATTTAGGGATCAAAGCAGAGAGAGCTACATTATTAATACCATAAAAAACCTGGAAATACAACTTAATACTGCTGTGTAGGACATAATTTTGAAAAGTTAAAGCATTTGAAGAAGAAAGAGCTGTACAGTGATGAGTCCAACCAGTGAGTTTGTTGTGGATTTTGTAGGCCCTGTTGTAGAGCCTAGCGATGGGTTTTAATATTTCATTAGTAGTGAGAGACCAGACAGGTAAACAGTACGACAGAGTTGAAAGTATTATGGCATGAAGATAAGTGTTGGAAACAGAATATGTCAGATTTGATCTAATTTTGGAGTAAACATACATTTTTTGTTTCAGAACATATTATTAACCTCTAAATGGTGAAGTAATTGGTTAAATAGTGTTTTTTTTTAGCCTACCTTAATGAAGATTTAACAGTGTTTACAAGTGGCTTATTGTATTTATTGGTGATGTGAGTAACTGAAAAATAGACGAGGTTACCAAGCTCCCTGTGTGCTGCTGAAGTTTCTGCTGCAGGCCTAACATGGTAAATTTATATAGTCTTTCAACTATTTTTGGCCAAAACTTGAACTGTTACATTCAGCTGGCATCGACAGTTCAGCTATTGCAATTATTTTTCAACGTCAGCAGTTTTCAGCAAAATCATTCAGCATCCACGCGGCATTTTTACAGGGAATGCAAATGTGTCTAGTTAAGAACTGATTTGAATACAAAACAAAGAAAAACAACAACAAATGGAATTAATTGTTAATGTGAAGTGCACTTTTTACTCTAATGCTATATTTACAATTTTCTTTCAGAGCTTCTTAAGAAAGCAGACTGGGCTGGTTTTCATGTTCGCAGTATATGTTTGTTATAATTTGTGACTTTTACTGATGTTTTTAAAGACCATCAGTTCAGTAATGCCGAAGTCATTTAAGTACTACAGAAGGTCCCGTTACAAATATTATGTTTTTCAAAATTTGGTGATGATTGCACAAGTGTTTTACTTGCATGTATTGTACTCCATTACTCAAGTGGTTGAGGATCATCAAGTTCTGAACATTTTAAGAACTTTAAGCAAAGTAATGAAGGTCTATCATAGGAAAGAACAGTCAGGAACATACATAAGTAAAAAAAAAAAAAAAAAAATGTCACCATGCTTAAAAAGTCTCATTTTTCAAAAATATTTCACAGCATTAGTGAGTCACTGTGGGCATCAGGAAATCAGGACCTTGTGACATTGCCACTAATTAAAAAAAAAAAAAAAACTGTTTAAATTATTTTGATTGACACACAACACAAATGTAAAACCAAAGAAAATCCCCATATGGATCTACTGAGTCCAAATTTTAGACTGTTTGGCTCCAACCTCTGCCTCTCTTGGTAAAGCACAGATAGTGAACAGATGGTATTGACATATTTGAATCCGTAGAGGAGCAGCAGTAAAGTATGTTTTGCTTGTGACACCATTAACCAGTATAGTTACCACAACATTTTGCAGCAAATCAATCCTTCCCATCTGGTATAAACTTGGTGTTTCCATTATGTGCTTTTCACTGTAACAGTGACTCAATACACTCATGTATCTAAATTTATTTGACCAAAGTTGAAATAAATGGATTAATGGAACTGTTTGAAAGCTGACTTTAGGAATCTGAAGTTCTGTTTCTCTTTTTTTGCACAGTTTGGGGAGGAGGTGTCTGTAGCTTCCAGTGTGGCACTTGTGTCAGAGCGCAACTCGAACCAGACAGCAGCCAGCCCCAGACTCCATCCCTCCGTGTCCGGAGAGCAGGACCCTGCAGCCGCCCTCTGGGGGAGCCATCAAGATTACACACAGGCAAGATGAGAGGACTATGAGCTTAAAAGTTGATGTTTTTCCACTCGCATGGAAACAATAGTATGAAAGTAAACATGCCCAGTGTTTCGTTTCACATACTGCAGTCAGCTTAAGTTTTTTATGGGTTTCCATAAATGTATTTTTATTTTATTTTACCTGCATATTTAGAAAATAAAAAAAAACACACATGACAAATTCTACAAAAAAGCCCAATCAATAGATTTAAAATATGTTTATGAGAATGAGTTACTGAAAAATGTGCTTTTGCTTTTAGGACATACAGAAGATCTTGTGGCCTCAGAGTACAGACTGTGTACAGGAGTACTCTCATGTACCTCCTGCTCACTTGCTGCCAACCTATTACCTTTCACCTGAAACTCAAGGCCTCAAGTCAGTACTTTTTCCTGAACTGGAAGTTTTGTCTTTTTATTTTATTTGTTTTGTGGTGACGTAGTTGTATTATAGTTACAAGCCACATACATTTAAAACATTTGTTTTCATACATCACTGAATAATGACGTACAGCTGAAGTTAAAGCTTAGTTTTTCTTTGTTTGGAACATAAATGCAGAAGTTACATGGCTGATGTGTAGCTTGTATTATAGCTTCCTTCTAATGTCACAGCTTGTCAGTATTTTAGATGGGTGATGGGAGAACTGGATCTTTGTAACGATGTATCTAGAAAAGCCTTAATGTTTCTTAATGGGATTAACGTCTGGACTGTGAAGTGGCCAATCCATGTGTTAAAAGGATGCTCCTAAAGAAATTTAATTTTCTCTGATGAATCCTGGTATTATTGTCATGCTCAACATGAACAAAACTCAAAACAGGCAAACCAACAACTGCTTTTTAATAATAGTTTGTGTTATAAGACTTTCAGCATAGTCTTGTACACACCAGATCTTTTGATTTGAAAGATAAGGCCATGTGCAGTATTATTAACCAGAGCTGGATGTTGATTCACATCCATGTAAACTTGTTGATTTTTACAACTTGCAAAAAATCAGAATTTCCTTTAAGTGGACTATAGCCTTCATTAATAAACCTGTGCTTGTCCTACAGTTTTAAACAGATGAGTTTTTTTATTATTAACTGTTTTGTTTGGGTTTTTTTTTTGGTCAATGTGTGATCCATTTATAAAACACTAAAATGAAAGACAATAGTCTATTAGGATTTGGTAAAACAGTCCTTTGTACCTCTGGTTTTCAGGTTCTTTGCTCATCTATAATGTCTTTCGTCTTATTGCTGTTGTGGTAATTTAGCTGAAAGTTAATGTTGCTTTATTATTTGTTAAGATAATCAGATTCAATGTAAATAGATGTAATGTGTGTCACACTATGGACCACCAGAACAATAGATCAAGCTTGAGGGGAAAAATAGGCTTGTATCTCTTGAGTCACAATAATAATAATTGTTGTTGTTTGTGTTTATTTAGCCCAGTGGCATCTCTCCTCTATGGCAGCAGCAGACCTTCCCAGGCTGTAGGTGTACCAGATTGTGGCACTGCCCCCCAACCATACCCAGCCCTCCTGCCTGCTTCATTAGACTGGACCCTGGAAGAAAATGAGCTCCCAGATCCTTTTGCCTCAGAGGTATATTTTTGTCTGTACAGTTGACTGTTACAGATATCGTACATATACTATGCTTTTACATCTTTACTCGGAGTCCAAGTGTTTTGTGAAAAAATAAAAACTGGACCAAACTATAAAGTTATACTTTTGTGTTTACAGATACTACGTGTACGCAGTGGAGGATTTACACTAGAGCAGATTGGCAACAGAATTGCTCACGCTATGAAACAAGTAAAGGAAGCGCCTCACTTCTCTGTTCTAACAGCAGCATAATATATCCCACTACTAACTGGAAAATAAATTTAGGTCTAAAATGGTGGGGAGTGGCACATAGCATGCTTTTGTCTAACTTTTGAATCAGAATTTAAATGGTATTAGAATAAGTGAATGCCCACAGACTTGACTTGTTGCATCTAGTTGATAAAGGGTCTCTTATCACGTCTCAGCTTTGATCATAATTTTTTTCAGCCACACTATCAAACTTAAAATCTAGGTTTGTCTGATGCTACACTAAGTCTTTCCTTCAGAACTAACCCCGTTTGTTTGTATTCACAGAGTACTATACCCCAGTGGCAGGTCCACAATGAGGCAGCTCTTTTTTGGCGGGCCAAAGGCAATGGCAGTCGTGTCCTGCAGTGCCTGCGACAAGTGCTGAGTTCAGCGCCACCATCCCACCACCATTTGCCTCTCACCAATGCTGCTAACCTGCTGCTGCACCACGGCATGACCACCCAATCACAAACACTGCTGGAGCATGCCTTGGCACTCAATGCCTCAGAGGTAAAGAGACACTGGTTTATAACCTTTTAGTGTTCCACAGTTGAACAAAAAGTGGCAAGAAAGAAAACAAGTAAGAAAGTTTTGCTCTTTGCTTCATAGATTCTCCAGTTTTTAACTGATGAAGTATCTTGGTCAAATTTTGAGGTTGAGTTTGTTTCCAAAAATCTGTTTCCCCTATATTACTAGCCATGACAGGGTGCTCATCGCTTCCGTGATTTTTGTCAGGGAGTGGGGGTAGGGGGGTGGAGACAGAGACACGCCTGTGCTGCGCGCTGTTTGTACTGACAGTTTTCAAGCGGGGGGGGGAGACGGTTCAGCGTGAGGGAAGATACAGCACAAGCGCTGCCTTTAGCTTTTTAGCTAGCGCACCACTAGCTTAGTGCTATGTCGGGAGGGGGAGTTGCTTCCATAGGCAGGGTGCTCGGTTCAGTTGACACTGCTTGTATAAACACTGAAAAGTGTTATAGATCTGCAGAGTAATAGTTAAAACAGATCTTGGGGCAAAAACTAACAAAAGATAATTTCTAGAAGTCCAAAAAAAAGTGTTTGATAATTGCAAATGCCAGACATAACTGGCAATACAAGTTATAGTAAAAAATATAGCAAAACTTGTATTTTATTTATTTATCAACCTTAATTTAACCAGGTTAATCCCACTGAGATCACAGATCTCTTTTGCAAGGGAGGCCTGGGCCTGAAGGCAGACTAATGTGCATGTTTTTGGATTGTGGGAGGAAACCGGAGTACCCGGAGAAAACCCAGGCAAACATAAGAACATGCAAACTCCACCCAGAAAGACCCCAGTTCCATTCTGGGGATCAAACCCAGGATGTTATTGCTGTGAGGCAACAGTGCTAACCACTAATCCATCGTGCTGCTCAGTAATATTTGCGTGTGTAATATTTAAGTAGTGCAACTGACTGCAACAAAGTCAAAGTTTCTTTGTCATTCGCACCACATGTGGTACATGTGGTGGAACAAAATTATGTACACAGGGTCCCAGTTACATCCAACAAAGTATAAATTGTAAAGAAAAACGGTAATAAGATCTAAGATATGAACTAAAAATACGCTTAAGCACTAGTAGTAGAAAAACAATACACAACAATAAAAACAGTTTGCTCTAAAAACTGTAACTACATGTCTGATTGGTGTCTCAGTCCTTGTTTTCTCTCTGTCAGCAGGAGGTGCACAAGCATCTGCTAAATTGTTTTGTCAGTTTTCACATGTTACCCATTAGCTAATGTTCTGCTGTCTTGTTTTGTTTTCCTCCCTCAGCCTCACATCCTGCTCAGCCTCGTGAGTGTGCATTTGGCCCAGAGCAATGTGACAGGTGCTCTGGATTTGTTCCGCCGCATCCTGGAATCGACCCTGTCCTCCCCATCTTCCTTCTCATCCTTTGCTAGCTGTGAACAGTGTCGCAGCAGCCTACCTTTGCTGCGGTGCCTTCAGTTCTACCCCTCCCTTTACAACCTTTCACACCGGGAGTCTTGCTCACGTGAGTAACTTAAAACACATAGGGGTTAGGTTTTTATTTTTACAGTTAGGTTTCAAGTCATGACTTCTGAAAATATAATAGTTTACAGAATATGAAAGGCTTGAGCCTTGAAACAAATGAAGTTGATATTTATAGTAGATAAAACAGGCTTCTTTTTTGGAAGGGCTGATGCTTTGTTTTTATATTTTGCTCATGAACACAATAGTGTTTAAAGTATGTTCAAGAAAATAATGCAATAATGATGAAACAGGTTTTGTTGGTGTTCAGTAGTTTTAGACATTGCCAGTTGTTTAGAAAATCAAACGTGGCGTGATGTTTTTTTTTCTTCTGATTTAACAATTTAAAATTGACATGAACAGTATAGTTGTGAGCTCTGGTTAAGATAAAACTATTGCCAGCATCTCATTTTCTCTGAAAACATTTTATCCATCCATCCATCATCTTCTGCTTGTTCCAAAGTCTGGTCTCTGGGGCAGCAGCTTGAGCCGGGAGGTCCAGACATCTCTTTCCACAGCCACCTCTTCCAGCTCTTCTGGAAGGACTCCAAGGTGTTCCCAGGCCAACCGAGAGACATAGTCTCTCCAGACTGTCCTGGGTCTCCCCCCCGGGTCTCCTCCCAGTTGGACATGCCAGAATCATATCCCTAGGGAGGCGTCCAGGGGGCATCCTTACCAGATGTCTGAACCACCTCAACTGGCTCCTCTTGATGTGGAGTAACAGTTCTACTCTGAGTCTCTCCAGAATAACTGAACTTCTCACCCTATCTCTAAGTCCAGCTACCCTGCAGAGGAAACTCATTTCAACCGCCTGTATCCACAATCTCATTCTTTCGGTCACTACCCAGAGCTCATGACCATAGGTGAGGGTAGGAACATGGACTGACCAGTAAACAGAGAGCTTTGCCTTACAGCTCAGCTCTCTCTTCACCACAACAGACCGGTACAGAGTCCACAATACTGCAGATGCTGCACCAATCTGTCTGCCAATCTCAAGCTCCATTCTTCCCTCACTCGTGAACAAAACCCTGAGATACTTGAACTCCTCCACTTGAGGCAGAACCTCACCCTCGACCTGAAGAGAGCAATCCACGCTTTTCTGACTGAGGACCATGACCTCAGATTTGGAGGTGCTGATCCTCATCCCAGCCGCTTCACACTCGGCTGTGAACCGCTCCGGTTAGAGCTGAAGATCACGGCACGATGACGCCAACAGGACCACATCATCTTCAAAGAGCAGAGATGGAATCCTGAGGCCACCGAATCGGAGACCCTCCGCCCCCTGGCTGCACCGAGAAATTCTGTTTATAAAAGTTATGAACAGAATCGTGATGACGGGCAGCTCTGGCGTTGTTCCACTCCCACCCTGAAGGGGTCCGACTTACTGCTGGCAATGCGAACCAAACTCTTGCACCGATTGTATAGGGACTGAACAGCCTGTAACGACGGGCCCCCAATCCCATATTCATGGAGCACCCCCCACAGTGTACCCCGAGGAACATGGTCAAAAGCCTTCTCCAAGTCCACAAAACGCATGTAGACTGGATGGGCAAACTCCCATGACCCTTCGAGGATCTTAGTGAGGGTAAAGAGCTGATCCAGTGTTCTACGGTCAGGACGGAACCCACATTGTTCCTCCTGGATCTGAGGTTTGACCAACGATCAGACTCGCTTCTCTAGTACCCCTGAATAGACCTTACCAGGGAGGCTGAGGAGAGTGATGCCCCTATAGTTGGAGCACACCCTCTAGTCCCCTTTTATAGTTTCATAGATAGATTTTATGCAAACTTAATATTTGACACTTCTTCTATATTTACATCAGCCTTGATTTATGATCAGCTGGGCTTTTCTTATAATTGCAACTTTCACTTTAATGCTGAACCCTACAGCTGTGAACATGGAGGGTTTTTTTCTAATTTGAAGCTGAATATTTATTTGCTGCTGGTTTGTATTTCATTATTGAGCAGTGTTCCATTAAGACAGCTTTTTCTCAGACACGGTGTGTCATGCAGACTGATAAACCAAATCGGCTAGTCACTAGTCCATGTGTTCCAAATATTGTGCTTCATTTTATGCATAACTTATTTTAGTGTTGGTCTTTATAAAGTGAAATAATGTAGAATAACTGCAACTTTTGAGGAAAAAAATAACCTGATGCTAAATTTAACTGTACTTGCTTTAGAGAAATAACTACACATGTCATATTTCAGTGCGTACCTCAATATGAGGGTCACTAGATAATACAGATTGAGTACAACAAGAAAATAAAACAATTGCTAAGTTACCTTTTTATTTTATTTAATTATTTTTTTCCTCTTCAAAATTCACAATTCCTCTCCAAGAGGTAGAGAAAGGAAATGATAAGATGGCTGGTCAAGTATGACAAACAAAAATTGTTTGAGTTCGTTTGACCTAGACTTGATGTGAAATAAAAAGCAACACAGAACTGAATGACATCTCTCGATGTGAAAATACAAAATAAATAAAATATTAAACTCTTATTCCTAGCTTCTCAGCTTAGGTGGATAAAATTCTGAGACAATGGTGCTTTATATCAAAGATGTTGAAATGAACAGCTTTACACAGCACGTTTCAAAGTAAACCGTTTGTGACACCTGCTGGCTGCACATGCACAGCTCACTCTTCACTGCCTTAGTTTTTAAGGTCTTTAAGCTTCTGTTTTATTCTGAAGCAGCCATTCACTCGTTTGATGTGGAGTTAGGCCTGTCGCGATAAACAATAAATCAATTAATCACATAAATGAAAATTATCAACCTCATCTTCATTTATCAGCTTTATCGTTTCTTCGTCTCTCTCGCTTTCTACTGGACACTGGATGACAAAAAGCTCAACTCCGATGCTCTTCACTGACCCCCCCCCCCCCCCCCTTCTCTTTAAAATAAATTTTAACCGTCCAAAATCGCATTTTTGGATCATTAAAAACAACTAAGCTGAGAAGCTAAGCTATGAGCTAAGCTAACAGGCTGACCTCGGAGAAAAAACCTCTGTCTTGTCGAAGCTCCAAAATTCATGGTTGAAACCTGTGCCTTCGTGTAAAAACTTGTTTTTCTCTGCAAAAAGAAGCTGAGAACTTGTTTACTGATTTTTTTTATTTTTTATTAAAAGCATTGTGTGAAAATGTTATGCTAAAGAGCTCAAACCACACCAAGCGTCCGTCATTTTGAGAACTGAAGAGAGACAACCCATGTCACGTTAAGGGCCCTCCCTCTCATTTTTCTTAAAGAGACACGCTGCTCTCTCTCACTATCCGTCATTAGGTTCAAACAGTTTTATATTGCCATCCGGTCAAGTCAAGTCACATTTTATTTATATAGCACATTTAAAACAGTAACTGTTATCAAAGTGCTTACCAAAAAAGACCACAGGATCAAATATTAATAACAAGATATTACAGCAACATGAATAAAAGCATAAAAACATGAAATATAATTAAAAACAATGAAATACTAAATCAAATCACCCTGCGTTTAATGTCGGGGAGTAAAAGCAAAATGGATGAACACAATCATCAACAACGAAATACCAAATGAGATCACACTGTGTTAAATGCCAATGAGTACAGATGTGTTTTTGAGGAGAGATTTAAAAATAGAGACTGAGGTGGCCTGTCGAATGTTGATGGGCAGATTGTTCCAGAGTTTAGGGCCCATGACTGAAAATGCCCGATCTCCTCTGAGCTTCAGCCTGGTTTTTGGTACGGCCAAAAGCAGCTGGTCTGATGATCTCAAGGCCCGAGAAGGAGTATAAGGATGAAGGAGGTCGGAGAGGTATGAGGGTGCAAGGCCTTTGACACACTTAAATGTCAGCAGAAGAATCTTAAAATCAGCTCTGACACGCACAGGAAGCCAGTGAAGAAAGGACAGAACTGGAGTAATGTGCTCAAACCTGCGAGTTCCTGTTAGTAGCCGAGCTGCAGCATTTTGTACGAGCTGGAGACGTGAGAGAGACCTGACTGACCCCAGCATAAAGCGAGTTACAGTAGTCCAGCTGGGTTGTAATAAATGCATGTACTAATTTTTCAAGGTCGGATCTGGACAGCACGGACTTGAGCTTAGCTATCTGTCTTAGCTGAAAGAAGCTTTTTGAAGAACAGAATTTATCTGCTTATTAAACTTAAAGTCCGAGTCTAAAACTATCCCGAGATCGGTAACAGACTGTTTTAGATATGGCTGAAGGGAGTCCAGGTTTGCAGGATCAGTGACAGTGGCAGAGCTAGGGTTAAACACAATGACCTCAGTCTTCTGATCATTAAAACTCAAAATGTTTGCAGCCATCTAAGTCTTGATGTCATCAAGACATTTTAACAAAGGGCGAATGGAGGAGGAACTGTTAGGTGTTAACGTCAGATAAATCTGAGAGTCATCAGCACAACAATGAAAGGAAAGACCATGTTTCCTCAGGATAGACTCTAAGGGGAGGAGATACAAAGAAAACAGAAGGGGTCCAAGAATGGAGCCTTGCGGGACCCCGCAGGAAAGAGGCACTGAAGTAGATAGTGTTAGCAAAATTAACACAGAAACTCCTGTTGCTCAGGTATGAATGGAACCATTCTAACGCTGCACCAGTAATCCCAAGCCAGTATTCTAGCCGGGATAAAAGGATACTGTGGCCCACAGTATCAAATGCAGCGGTAAGGTCAAGGAGTACCAGGACCACAGATTGACCAGAGTCATTTGCCTGAAGAATGTCGTTGCAGACCCTAACTAAGGCTGTTTTGGTGCTGTGAAGTTTCTTAAAGCCAGACTGAAAGATCTCAAGAATAGAATTTCCACTCAAGAACTCTTTAATTGAGTGAAAACTATTTTCTCCAGGATCTTAGAAAGAAAGGGAAGTTTGGAGATGGGTCTGAAGTTTGAGCAGGTTAAAGGGTCAAGTCTGTTTTTTTTTTTTAAAGGAGTTACCACTGCATGTTTAAAAGCGTCAGGAACTACACCTGTAGCCGTACTGCTGTTTATAATGTCAAGAACAGAGGGTCCAATGGAGGGTAGGACTTGTTTAAAAAAACGTGCAGGGATGGGGTCAGCAGGGGAACCTGAGGGTTTCATATGACCAATGACGTCATCTAGAAATGAGAGGGAAATGGGTTCAAACTGGTTAAAGACTGATGTGGAGGGGACAAAGACAGAGGGGTCAGCTGTGGTGTGAGGAATCAGTGACCTGATCGACTCAACCTTTTTAACAAAGAAACTGGCAAAGTCGTCACACGTAACTGCAGTGGCCTCCCAGTTGGCAGACTGAGGCACGGTTAAAATGGAGTTAATGGTGTTGAAAAGAACGAGGGGATTGTGGCTGTTTGAGGCGATGATTTGGGAGAATTTTTTTTTTCTTTTTCTGATTTAACAGTGGCCTGGTACTCTTTGTAACATGTTTTTTGCATGATAAAAGAAACATGAAGTTTGTCCTTCTTCCATTTACCATCTGGTGGTCGAAAATAGGTACTACATGCTAAACAAATAAACATTTCTTCTTAAATTTGACAATAATGACTAATTATTGTAAAATTTGAAACAATATTACTGTTTATCGCAATAATTTCTCAGACAATTAATCGCCCAGAAAATTTTGTTATCGTGACAGGCCTATGTGGAGTGCTATAAATAAGATAGTTCTATCATGGCGGTTACCAAAATGCAATTAAAGTATTGCAAACACTTCTAGATAGGATCGGTGGTCACCCTTGACAATCATATTGTTGTGTATTACTTGTGTCCACTTTTCCAGCAACTTGTGTGAAATAAAATTATGATGAAATACTTTTACAGCATTTCTCACTTAATCCGTTTTTTTGTTCAAAAACTTATTTAAAGTACCGGTACACTTTTTGATATCTATGTGTGAGTATATTTAATACATTCAAAATGTTTATTACATTGTCTTGACTCTGACAGTGTTTTGATTACCTACAATTGTGTTTGTGTTTAGAGGGTGGTGTCTGTATGCCTGAAGAAGATCTGAGCATACAGCTGGAGGAGTGGGAGGACAGCGAAGAGAAGCAGGATACAGCTGCAGTTTCTGCCATAGAAGACACACTGCTCTTTGACAGTAAGAATGTGACATCTGCAAGTTTAATAACATAGTAAAGTTGTTTTCTAAAGCTGTGTTGCGAAGGCTGCTTCAAAAATCATACAGTTTAGAATTGTATTTGTTTTAGTATAAGTTTTTTTTTTCCACCAATTCAAAACAGAACTAATATAAAAGGAAAACCGGTTGAATTAAAGAGCAATTAAATAAATTTGACTCATTTAAATAATAATAAAAAATTCCAATTAAATGCAACTGCATTGTCTAATTTAATCCAGTTCAATATATTTTAAGATAGTACAGACTTTTTCTCAAACTTTTTAGGTTCAGGGACCCCTTACTGGGGAGAAAAAGTTTCAGGGACCCCCTCATAACCCTCATGTGTAATAAATAATTTTCTTCAATTTGTCTCTTTAATGCAATGGAAATATTTGTGTAACATACCGGTAAATAATTAAGACCTGTTCTTTAATAGTGTTAGTACAGTTTTTTATACGTTTAAACTTGAGGTATTTTTCATTCAAGACACACCTAATTAACAACATTTTTAATTTCAACTTCCAAAAATTACGGTTTTGGCGGACCCCCAAGCACCGGCTTGTGGACCCTCGGGGGGTCCGGGGACCCCAGTTTGAAAACTACTGCTCTAAATAATACCAGTGTATAGACAACTGCCAGCACTGATGTAGCGCTAAGCTAGCAGTGATTACAGATTTGCTAGCTAAAAAGGTACAGAGGCCAACTGTCGGAACAAGCAACGAGCAACACAGACATGTCTCCATCTCTACCCCCCACCCACCCCCGTTGACAAAAATCACGGAAGAGATGAGCGCCCTTCCAAGGCTTGTAACCTAAAGGAAACACTGAATACTGTTCAATTCCTTTAAATAATTACCTCACCACAGTACAAGTCAGTGTGTTTATGTGTGTGCTGAGTTAACCCACTGATCAGATTCATATTGCCTACTATTTGGACATGCAGTTTAAAGACTGGGGGGGTGTTGATCCTCATCCCCACAACAAGCCAAGATCTCTTTGAGCAATACATTCCAACTGGTCCCAGTAGGTCTGTTGTGGTTGTCGTAAGAATCTTTAAAACAAAGTGTATAAATATTGAATGTCTACTGTATGTAAAAAGCACTGTATGTATGTGTGTGTGTGCGTGTGTGTGTGTGTGTGTGTGTGTGTGTCCTTGTTTATGCTACTTTGTGAGGTCCATTTTTCCAACTTATACTACATTGTGGGGACCAACTGCTCCTTATGGGGCCCAAAGCCCGGGCCCCATAAGAAGAAGTCCCGTTGGTGGGTTAGGGGCTAGGTTTAGGACTAAGGTGTGAATTGAGGATGTGTTAGGTTTAGGGTTAGGTATGTACTGGTAATGGTTAGGTTATGGATAAAGGTCATGGTTAGGCTATAGAAATGAATGAAAAATGAATGGAAGTCAATGCAAAGGCCCCACAAAGATAGCAAAACAAACCTGATTGTGTGTGTGTGTGTGTGTGTGTGCGTGTGTGTGTGAATGGATGAATAAAAAACACATTATAAATCACTCTGTAGAAAATAAGAGGCTGGAAAATGTAAAAGAAAAAGCTGAAAATGTGTGTCAGTTACTTGTGTATAAGAAAGTGTTAGTAATCTGACATTTGAGTTTACTTCATTTGCTGACCAAAACAATAAATAAAGAAAATAAATAAACAGATGTTGTTTATGTCCTGAATAGTTTGTTTTGTCGGTGAACACGCCTTGTGTTGTTTCTCTTGTGCTCATGCCTGTCACATTGACCTTTCAGAGGTCATCTTGGATAGTAATGGCTCAGGCGAAGCAGCTGCACAGCAGCCGTCTCCCTCCACCTCAGGAACAACTAAAATGACTCCAACCTTTGGAGATGGAGGAGTGGAAAAAGAGGAAGAATGGCAGCTGAAGGAGGACCTGATGGGAGCGTTTGAAGGAGCATTGGATGTGGGAGGGAAACACGGGGACCTACGAGGGATCCGAGTGCTAAAGAACGACCGTGTAATGGGCGCTCGGGCAGGAAGTGGGCCATGCTTTGGAAATTGTGAGGATGATGATGGAGCAGAGTGGGTATGTTATTCATTTATTATAGCTCTAGTTTATACAATCGTAAAAATCACTTTGTGAAATGTCGTTTAATTTGCTATTTATCATGTTTCAGATCACTTTCCAAGTAAAGAGGGTCCGTAAACCTAAGGGGGATGGGTCAGAAAATGCCGGCATCTCTGATGAGAGCCAGACTGAGGAGTCCATGTCTGCAGGGAACTCTGTCCTGGAGATCAGTGGTCCAACCATCCCGTCCCCTGGCCCTTCAGGTAACAAACTAAAACTACATTTTAATTACCTGCAATATCATGGGGGGGGGGATACTTGAGAGAGATGCCTTTGATTTGTTTTTGATCAGGTCGCTGGAGAGACTATGCAAGTCTTGGGTGGCCCGGACCAGAGGAGTGCCAACGGACACGAAGGGTTGACCTCACCACAGTAGCTAGTACCTGGTTGGCCGTTTCTGCCAAGAATATTGAGTAAGCCTGTTAAAACTATAGTTAGTCCTTGAAATACTTTTGTTCTAAATCAAGTTGTTTCATGCAGAGTGATATAAAATACCCATTTACAGCAAAAGTCATCTCAGTGAGCTATAAAGACAAAATGAAACATTAAATATGTATTAAGTGTGAATCTGAAAGGGAACATACATAAATACATGTACATTGCTGCCTCTGCCATCTCAGCATATTGACAACTAAGTCTTCTGTCTTTGACTTTTTCCTTCTGTTCACCACTTCTCTGCAGCATCACGGACCACATAGACTTTGCCACTCCACTCCAGGAGCCAGCGGCTGAACCTTTATGTAATGCCAACTTGGCTGCTAGTATGCACACCCTGGACCACCTGGCAGGTGTATCCAACCGCGCCGCCATCCACTACACAGGGGAGGGCCAACTGCGTGAGGTACACTGAGAAGACTGCATACTGTGCTATGATCAACATGCAGGACTGAGTGCAAACTATAAATGTGTTTATGGAAGAATGTTGTTTTTATAAAAACAAGAAATGACTCAAATGAAACCAAGTCATTACATTTACTAGGATTTTTATTCAGAAGTATTTAATTTCCACACTTTAACAGTGTGAGATTTTGTTGGCTGATTAATGAAAGATTTATAGTGTTAGATGAAGTGAACACAACTGAAATGTGGCTGATGTATATTTTAAGTCTGGAAACAAAGCTCTTCTATTTTATGGCAGAACTTAATTTTCACATACGATTTTAAAATAATCAGCTTGGCCCCTGTGGTTGTGCCTCTCTCGTTAACTCTGAAGGTCCTTCAGAACCTTGGCAAAGATACGTTCTCCCCCCAGTCCTTTGAGCAGGTGGGCACACGCATCGCTAAAGTACTGGAGAAGGTAAGACCTCGCAGCTGATCCAGGAGAGTTTACAAGTAATGCACTTTTGATTTTCGGTGCAAAATGTGTCAATTAATTGTTGTATTTATGCAAACAAACATAGTTATTCACTTATTTGCCCTTAAGGTCTAATTTTCCCAGCTTGAATGAGAATATAAAAGTATTACAGTTGAAACCAGATGTTTACATACACTATTTAAAGAGACACGTTCACTTTTTTTTCACACTAATATGAAGTCAGAATATACTTATCCCGTTTTAGGTCAATTAGGATTACCAGGTTTTTTTTTTGTTTGTTTTGTTTTGTTTTCTGTTTGCAAAATGCCAGAATAATGAGAATATTTTAAGGCAATTTTTATTACTTTCTTCAAAGTCAAAAGTGTAAATACACTGATTACTATGCCTTTAAACAGTTTGGGACATTTGATGTAATGTCTTTGGAAGCTTCTGATAGCTTTATTGATAACATCTAAGTTAATTAGAGACATGCATGGATGTAATTTAAAGAACACCTGAAACACACTGCTTCCTTGTGTAACAGCATGGGAAAGTCGAAAGAAATCAACCAACATATCAGGAAGAGAATTGTGGACTTGCACAAGTCTGGTTCATCTTTGGGTGCAATTTCCAGATGCCTGAAGGTGTCTCATTCATCTGTACAAACAATTATATGCAAGTACAAACAAGATGGGAATATCCAGCCATCATACCACTCAGGAAGGAGATGGGTTGTGTGTCCCAGAGATGAACATGCTTTGTTCCAAAATGTGCAGATCTACACAAAAACAAAAGACCTGGTGAAGATGCTGGCTGAAGCTGGTAGGCGCGTGTCGTTATCCACAGTGAAACGAGTACTGTATTGACATGGGCTAAAAGTCCACTCTGCCAGGAAGAAGCCATTACTTCAAAAGAAACATGAAAAGCCAGATTCTTCTTCTTCTTTCTGCTTTTCCCTCTTCAGGGTCGCCACATCGAGTCATCCTCCTCCATCTTTCTCTGTACTCTGCATCCCCTGTCCTCACTCCAACTACCTCCCTGTCCTCTCTAACTGCAACCATATATCTCCTCTTTGGTCTTCCTCTTTTGTCTGGACATGTTCAAACCATCTCAGTCTGGCCTCTCTAACTTTATTTCACAGTTGTTCAACCTGTGCTGTACCTCTGATGAGCTCATTTCTAATCTTATCCATCTGTGTCACGCCTAAGGAGAACCTCAACATCTTCATTTCTGCCACTTCCAGTTCTTTCTCCTGTCTTTTTGTCAATGCCACTGTCTCCAGACCATACAAAATAGCTGGTCTCACCACCAGTCTTGTAAACGTTTCCTTTGACATTTGCTGACACATTTTTGTCACACATAACTTCTGAAACTTTTCTCCATCCATTCCATCCTGCCTGGACTTTCTTTTTCACTTCTTTACCACACTCCCCATATTCCTGGCCCATGGACCCCAAGTACTTGAAGTCCTGCACCTTTGTGACCTCTGCTCCTTGTAGCCTCACCGTTTCACCTGTCTCCCTCTCATTCACCCACATGTACTCTGTCTTACTATGGCTGACTTTCATTCCTCGTCTTTCAAGTGCATACTTCCACCTCTCCAAGTTCTCTTCCACCTGTTCTCACCACAGATCACAATGGCATCTGCAAACATCATAATCCATGGGGATTCCTGCCTGACCTCATTTGTTAGTCGGTCCATCAACAGAGCAAACAAGAAGGGGCTCATAGCCAATCCTTGATGCACTCCCACCTCCCCCTTGAAGCTATCTGTTACTCCTACAGCACATCTCACCACTGTCCTGCTGTCCTCATACATGTCTTGTACCAGTCTAACATACTTCTCTGCCACTCCAGATTTCTTCATGCAATACCACACCTCCTCCCTTGGCACTCTGTCATATGCTTTTTTTCTAAATCCAGAAAGATACAATGGAGTTCTTTCTGACCCTCTCTGTACTTCTCCATCAGCATCCTCAAAGCAAAGATGACATCGGTGTTGCTGTTTCTCTGAATGAAACCATCCTGCTGCTCACAAATAGTCACCTCTCGTGTAAGTCTTGCTTCCACAGCTCTGTCCCAGATCTTCATCGTGTGGCTCATCAACTTAATTCCCCTGTAGTTGCTACAACTCTGTACATCACCCTTGTTCTTAAAAATGGGCACCAGCACACTTCTTCTCCATTCCTGAGGCATTTTCTCCCCCTCAAATATGTCATTGAATATTTGAGAAAAACCTCACTGCCATCTCTCCAAGACATTTTCAAACCTCCACTGTATGTCATCAGGTCCTACTGCCTTCCCCTTCTTCATTTCTTTCAGAGCTTTCCAGACTTCACCCTCACTAATCTTTCCCACTTCCTGCTAACTTCAGCGTTTCTTTCTATTTCATTCTCTTCATTCATTAGCTCCTCAAAGTACTCCTTCCATCTTCCTGTCATACTCTCCTCACTTGTTAGAACATTATCATTCCAATCTTTTAACAAGCCTAACCTGCTGCACATACTTTCCATCCTGATCCCTCTGTCTTGTCAATCATTACAAGTCCTTCTCACCCTCTTTAGTGTCCAGCCTCTCATACAACTCATCGAACACCTTCTGCCTTGCCTTTGCCACCTCCGTCTTTGCTCTACGTCCCATCTCCTTATATCCCTCTCTCCTCTCTTCAGTCCTCTCACTGTCATATTTCTTCTTGGCTAACCTCTTTCTTTGAACGGTGTCCTGCACTTCACTATTCCACCACCTTCTCTGTCCAGATGACATGCCAAATAAATAAAAAAAAAGCCAAATTAATGTTTTCAAATGCACACAGGGACAAAGACCTTAACTTTTGGAGACATGTCCTGTAGTTTGTCAAAACTAAAATTGAACTGTTTGGCCATAATGACCATCAATACGTTTGGAGGAAAAAGGGGGAAACACAATTCTGAGAACACCATCCAGACTGTGAACCACAGGGTTGGCAGTATTATGTTGTGGGGTTGTTTTGCTGCAAGAAGGACTGGTGCGGTTCACAAAATACCTGTAGATGGCATCATGAGGAAAGAACATTATGTGGAAATACTGAAGCAACATCTCAAGACATTTTCCAGGAAGTTAAAGCTTGTGTGCAAATGGGTCTTCCAAATGGACAATGACCTGAATCATACCACCAAACTGGTAACAAAGAGGCTCAAGGATAACAAAGTCAATGTTTTGGAGTGGCCATCACAAAGCCCTGATCTTAATCCTGTTGAAAATTCACGGGCAAAGCTGAAAAGGCATGTGTGAGCAAGTCAGCCTACAAACATGTCTCAGTTTCACCAGTTCTGTCAGTAGGAATGGACCAAAATTCCTGCCAACTATTGTGTGAAGCTTGTGGAAGGATATCCAAACTATTTGACACAAGTCATACAGTTTAAGGGCAATGATACCAAATACTAATGAAGTGTATTTAAACTTTTGACTATGAAGAAAATTATAAAATTTGTCTTTAAAAAATCTCTCTCTTGTTATTCTGGCATTTAACAAATAGAAAGAAAAAAAAAAAGAAAAAAAAATTGGCAATCCTAAATGACCTAAAATGGGAAAAGTTTATTCTGATTTCACATCAGACTGTGTGGAAAAAAATACACTTCTTTTTAAATAGTGTATGTAAACATCTGGTTTCAACTGTATATGTCTTAGCAGGGTTTAGAGTTTCATGTCTGCTTATTTTATTATTACAGTAGCCAACCAAACAACTGCAGTCTTTGTTTAGCTTTCTACATTGGTACTTTCTTCATTAAATACTAACTCAACTTTATTCCTGTGTATGTTTTTTTTTTCTCTTCCAACCTCTGGAAACTAGAATCAAACATCTTGGGTATTATCCAGTATGGCTGCTCTGTACTGGAGAGTGAAAGGCCAAGGCAAGAGAGCCATTGACTGCCTGCGACAAGCCCTTAACTATGCTCCTCATCACATGAAGGCAAGTTGGATACAGATTTTTCCAACACTTAGTCTAGATCAGGGGTCACCAACATGGTGCCCGTGGGCACCTGGTCACCTACAGGGACCACGTGAGTCACCTGGGACATGTTCTAAAAATAGCATTGTCATTAATTATATGTTTTTAAGTTTAAGTACCATATTTTCCGGATTATTACGTCGCTCCAGAGAATAGGTCGCATCAGTCAAAAAATGCCTTGAGGAAAAAAAACATATAGGCCTATAAGTCGCTGTGGAGTATAAGTCACATTTATTTAGACGTGTATTTCACAAAGTGCAAGAACAGACATTTAATCGGAAATAACAATAACACACAGAACATACCTGGGATCTAGGAATGTGCAATATAAACGGTACACTGTAGAAACGATAAAAATTTAGCCTACGATAGAGATCCGTCTTCTACCGGCTAACCGCAGTAATCCTGTGTCTGATGTAAAATCAGAGTTGTCAGTTTAATCGTTACGCACAGTTTTCAACTAAAAAAAAGTAAGTGGTGTTCAAATGTAAAATCAGAGCAGTCAGATTTAATCCTGATGCATGCTCAATAATCCAGGTAGAAAAATCTAAAAAAGTTAAATCTGGTTGATCCACTCTGAGAAGGTGCTATTTATAAGACTGAGCTGAATACAGCACCTCAGACTGAGGAAGTATTTCTGATAAAAGACCAAACTTTTCTACATTTTTTTTGTTGTTTTGCTTTTGTTTGTTTTTTTGAATGTCCAGAGGACCAGATTGAACTTTTTTAAGTCAGATTTAATCGTTACGTTTTTTTTGTTGAAAACTGTGCAAGTGGCATTAAAGTATTTTCTTTGAGAGCTAAGTAGCGAAGCTACAAGCTAACTACAGCCGGCTTGCCGTAGTGTTGCCGTATTCGGACGCATGCACAAAACGCTGAGTTCCGTCAAAAGTTTTTTTTTTTCCATCGTAAGTTAAAGTAAGCGTTGGTCAGCTTTAGACAAACCTGCTCTCTGATCTGTAAAAGAACGCTGTGTTGTGTGATTTTACTGCGAGACCCTCTGGTCAAAGCCACAGATTCATTTTGTGTCAGCTCTCCATTAAAACACGAGTCGCCCACTAGAAGTTTGGAGGGTGAAGTGTTTCAGTGTAAAATGCTGCTCTGTTGCTGTTCATTTTTTAAGTAAGACTGGAAACTGTTAAGAGTTAACATCATATTATTTTGTTTAAAACATATGGCTAAAACTACATTTGATGTGTTTTGCACAACAAGAAAAAAGCCTAATACTTGATTTGTTTTTTATTTAAAAACTCTGGACCTAGTAGTGGAATTTTCTTAATTCAAAATATATGATGGCAAAAGGACATCCTATGCTTTTTTTATTCCTATTGCAAGTTTTATACCAAAAACATATCGTGATATATATCGTTATCACCACCCTTCACAATACATATCGTGATATGAATTTTATGCCATAGCGCACATTTCTACTGGGATCCTGAACAGGCTTAATCAACATAACAAGCCAACAAGTCCAACAAGCAAGTTACCTTCCTTAGTGTTGCTTCTGAACAACTCTGCCAACTCCAGAGGAAGTTGTGGGAGCGGGGGTCGGGTAGCAGAAGAGGAACAACATATAGTTATCAAAAGCCTAGAGGGCCCTCTCACAGCTGCAAATGATAATGTTTACTCTTTGGTTTATGTCAGTATGAATGAAATTTAATGTGTCGGTCAAAAATTGTGTCATGAACAGGGAAAAAATCGTATATAAGTCACTTCGGGCCATACATCGCAGGACTGGCCAAACTATGAGGGAAACGACAATTTAAAGTCCGGAAAATATGGTAATATTTGCATGGATGTAGATTTGAAATGATAAAAATTAATGCAAACTTTTAGAATAAAAAGTTCTGAACGATGCGGGCACTGAGATCTCTGCAAGCGGCACAGCTACAAACTATTTTTTCCTTCCTTAAATGGCAGAATAACTTAAGAAAGCATTATTTTCACAGTGACTGAGAGGAAGAGCTTTTTTTTTTTTTTTTTTTTTTTACATTTGTGAAAGACAGATGTGTGCGTGTCTCATTTGTGGGGCGACTGTGGCGACATCAAAACGCCACAATATGGTGCGACACCACCACCTAACACATTAGCTTTAATGCTAACTTCCTGCCTAGCAGGCCAGGCAGGCAGAAAAACATCTCGAGTTAAAGGCAGCTTTGAGCAAACGGTGTTTCTTCATGAGACTTTTTCAGATGGAGACGTCCTGAAAGAAGCACTGGTGAATATTATAAAAAATATTGTGGTTAAAAAGAATAAAATATGATACTCAGTTAAAAACGCTGCCGATCTGAGGATCAGTACTAATGTTACATTTAGATACACACAACCCGTGTATTAAAATACACTGAATTTCAAATGTTACTGATTGATATTACAATAAAATAAATGTTTTATGTTTAAATATCTGTTCTGTTATAGTAAATCATTCATTAGGTTCCCCTTGTTCCTAATCAGGGTCAGGGTGGGAGCTGGAGCCTATCTCAGCTGCCTTTGGGTGAAGACAGGGGACAGCCTGGACAGGACTCCAGTCCATCACAGGGACACAGAAAGAGACAAACACACTTTTAGACATCTAGAGACATTTAGAGTCACACAGAAGAGTCACAAAAGAGATTCAAACGGAGAACTTGAGTTCTCTTGAGACTTCTAATCACTAACTAGAGAATTTGCATTTCCTGCAAAAATGAAGTGTGATAGCTTATTGTAGAAGAACTTGCTGAAAAACAGCTGAAATTAGCTTAAAAAAAACATGCTGAAATGTAGCTGAAATTGAAGGCCAAGCCTAACAGCAGAAGAAAGCAGAAATAACACATATTTGCTGAATTAGGTTTAAATAAGCAGAAATTAGCACAAAAATTAGGAAATTAATTTAAAAAAGGCAGAAATTAGAAAAAAAATAGCTGAAAAGTAGCTGAAGTAGCTGATGTTCAATGTTTTTATGTTATGAGTGCTTAGTGTATATTTAGTTGATGTTTTTCTTAGTTCATATCTTAGATGTTATTACTGTTTTTCTTATACATTTTATTGTTGGATGTAACTGGGACCCCGTGTACATAATTTCGCTCCACCACATGTACCACATGAGGTGCAAATGACAATAAAGAAACTCTGACTCTGACTCTGAAATGGCAGGTAGAAGCCAACAACCAGAAGGAAGTGGAAAGAACTGAACTGAGCTTGTAAAAATGTGGAATTAGCTGACAAAGCTAAAAATTAGCATCAAAAGAGCTAAATAGTAGCCAAAAGAGTAGAAGAAGCTTAAACTCACAGAAAAAAGATGATAAGAGCGTAACAACCTGAAATTAGCATAAAGAAATTAATTAGGCTGAAAGTAGCAGAAATGACCATGAAAAACTTGAATTTAACTGAAAACAGCTAAAATTAGCTAAACCATGCTGAAAAGTTAGAACAAGCTTAAATTAACAGAAGGAACACGTTTGCCCAATTAGGCTGAAAGAAGCTGAAATGAGCACAAAACAAGTGTAAATTTGTGAAAAAATCTTAAATTAAAAACAGCTGAAAAGTAGCTAAAAAAGCTGAAACTTGTTACCAGAAGCAAGTGGAGAGAGCATGTTTTTGCTGAATTACACTGAAAAATGTTTAAATGAGTGCAAGAAAAGTGGAATTAGCTGAAAAAGTTAAAATTGGCATAAAACAGCTAAATAGTAACTGAAATATCAGAAAAAGCTGAAAGGAGCATAACAAACTGAAATTTGTAGCAAGAAGTTAGAAGCACTAAAATGTTGTAGTTGGCAGAAGAAATCTGAGAGGAGCACAAAAGTTGAAAGAAAAAAAAAAACAGCTGAAAGTAGCTGAAAAACACAAAGTTTGTTTTCTCAGTCATCCAGGTATATAACAACAAAAAAGGTTGAATCATGTCATCTGGACTTCGTTTTTTTTGTTAAAAAGAAATGTTTCGCCCCTCATCCAAGAGGCTTCGTCAGTCTGAGGCCTAGCCAGCTGAAAAACAGTTAAAATTTGTGCAAGGAAGCTGAAAGAAGCTGAACCAGAGTGAAATGTGAAAGGAGCAGTAAAATGTTAACAGATCTAAAGATCTGAAGGAAGTAAAATGAGCTCATTTCATTTTATATGAGAAAAAAATGTCATAAAAGGCTAAATATTTCAAAAAGCCAAAGTTGCACCAATACCAAAAGTCATAGCAGGATTGTCCTGAAAGAGCTGAACGTTTTGATTTATGATTTGTTGAAATAGCACAAAAACTGTGGAACGAGAAGCTGAAAAAGTTACGGAATAAAAATGGTTCACAATCGTGTGAACGCTTCATAAACATTCACACTATTATCGATAATACTTGATCATATCTGCTATAGTAAATCATTATAGATGATTATTGTGAGGAGTCCTTAACATTCATCATCATATATTCATACATATGTAAATGTGTTTATTAATACAATAATTAAAGGTGAGTCGTGTAAATGTGTGTTTGTATCAGACCCTTCGAGTCACTCGGCCGCACCGGAGCATCTCTAAGTCTCTAAAGGGTTGGTGACCCCTGGTCTAGATGATCGTGTTTCATGTTTTTAATCCATTTTCTTTCTTCTTCCTGGAGCAGGACGTTCCTCTCATCAGCCTGGCCAACATCTTTCAGAATGCTAGATTATGGGAGGACGCTCTAACGGTCGCCCGTATGGCAGTAGAGATCGCCCCTCATTTTGTTGTAAACCACTTTACCCTGGCCAACGTCTATATCGCCATGGTACGGAGCAAAATCAGATTGTGTCTGAATCCATCTCCATCATTGATCAACCTGTGCGTCTTTTTATTTATATAACAGGAGGAGTTTGAAAAAGCCATGCACTGGTACGAGTCTACTCTGAAGCTACAGCCGGAGTTCGCCCCCGCCAAAGATCGCCTGCGAACTATTCAGTGTTACCTTCTCACTAAGAGGGAGCGCCGTCAGCCCTGAGCCCCTCGGACTGACCCCGTGGGATCAGGAACTCCTCAGACACATGCACAGGCTCAGAAACAGGCCGAAAACCACCCATAGTTTGCATAAAGTCAAAATAATAAGATTAACCTGAAATAAGAGGATATCAACATTAATGTTGAATTGAAGTTTTTTTTTTCTTATTTGATGTTAAACCTCCCCCAAGAAGTGGTTTGGACTATCAGAGTGCAAACACACCGTTCTGCCCCACAACTGCAAAACTTCCACCAGTTAAAATGTTCCGACGGTAAATTAAACTTTTTTTTTTTCTACATTTGCTTGACTTTCAAAACTTTTAAGTGGGATAAAGGTATTGCTTTTGAGTTTTGAATGATTTTGCATCATTTTAATTTTAATCTGGGCTACCTGGAAGAAATGATGTCATTCTAAAAGACAACTGGAAGTACGTGGCATCAAAAATCCATCGTTGGCTCGTTGTTTGAACAGCAGGGACACACTGTCACCTGAAGGTGGCGCCATTTAAAAAATAAAAAAAGCAACATTTCAATTTTTAACCAAAAAGGATCTTGCACAGGATTTTTGTAAGCTTTTTGCTTTTCTGCTCAGAGGTGAACTGATTCTTGGCCTCTCTGTTTGTGCTTCTTCAAACGAATGAGAAACCTCAGTTTATGCACTTTGTTTTTCTTCTGTCATTCCTATTTATATGGGACCTACAAAGAGATTTTGCTCCAAGCTAATATAAATACGAACGAGTGAAATTAAAATACGCTACAGCATTTGCTTTTCAACATATGGAAATCATAAAGGGTTTATCACTGACCGTCATAAAAAAAAAAATCTATTAAAACTATGAAGTGTACAGTATTAAAAGTGACGTGTGGATTTAATTGTTTTGCATCAGTTATTTATCCCTTGACAAAATAAAACGGTTGTACTTTTTGGAAGAGACACAGCCTTTAAAGTGCTGAGCAAAAGTGGGGAGTGGTGGTGCAGAGGTTAGAGAGGGTGGGCCTGTTATCGGAGGGTCGCCGGTCGGCTCCCTGGACTGACATCAAAATGTGGCAGGAAAAGGTGAAACACACCTGCCTCCACCCTCGTTTGCCCCACCATGAGCGAAGCCCTTACACCCCACCCCCGGGGCACCCTGGATGGCAGCCACCGCCTCACCTGCATGTGCTCATGTGCAATAGGAAAAATGCAGAGAATTAATTTCCCCATTGGGGATAAATGGAGACCAAAAGAAAAAGCCACAATCAGAAGCAGTGTGGTGAAGTTGGCCTGGTGGGGGCGCTGTTGGCCTTTTTGTTACAGGACTCCTGTTTTTAACTTTGCAGGATGACATCAGAGGCCTCTTCAGTAAAACAAACTACACTAATGTTTAAAAGTACTATTCACACATAGGTGCTAATGTTTAAAATGGTGCCCTTTTATAATTAACATTATATAACCTTGTGAAATAATTTTCATAATGTTTTTATTTCTAGGGCTGACCTATTCAGTTTATTTCTACAGCACCAAGTCACAACAGAAGTGTCAGGGCACTGAACAGAAACATAAAAATAATTTAACACTATTTATCTGAGGAGCAGACACTTTGAGTTTAACTCCATCACACAACTCTCATCTTGAGCAAACGTGAAGGCGACAGTGGAAAGAAAAAACTCCCTCATGAGGAAGAAACCTTTAGCAGAACCAGACTCGGAACAAGCATCTGCCTCGACCGGCTGGGTTTGAGAGGAACAGATACACAATGGCAGGTTGATAAGCACATGTTAAGATATAAATAATAAATTAAAACTATTCAATTTGAACAATTTTTTAAGGAAATTAGGTCAATTTGTCCTCCAGTAGTCTAAGCCTATGGCAGCATAAGAAGTCAACCATAACTATAGGATTTATCAAAAAGGAAAGTCTTAAAACTGGACAATGTGTCAGCCTCACGGACAGAAACTGGAAGTTGGTTCCACAAGAGAGGAGCCTGACAACTGAAAGATCTTCTTCCCATTCTGCTTCTGGAAACTCTAGGAACCACAAGTAAACCTGCAGTCTGAGAGTGAAGTGCTCTGTTAGGAAAATATGGAACAATAAGATCTCGAATATAAGATGGAGCTAGGTCTATGTGTCCCTGTGATGGACTTGCGACCCGTCCAGGGTGTCCCCCGCCCCTCGCACAGTGATTGCTGGACATGGGCACCGGCGACTCCCGTGACCCAAAAATGGAATAAACCGTTAAAGATAATGGATGGATGGAAGATGGAGCTAGGTTATTGAGGGCTTTGTAGGTTTGAAGAAAGATTTTGAATTCAACTTTAGATTTGACGGAGCCAGTGGAGAGAAGCTAAAACTGGAGAGAGATGATCGTTCCCACTAACTCCAGTTACACATGAAACTTGTTACAATTATCTTGTTCAGTAGTATTTCTAAATGATCTATACTCTCCTAAAATAGAGTTCATCTTAAATGTTGTTGGCAAAATACAAAAACAAAGATAATAATGTGATAATTTTCAGACCTTAAATTGTTCTGTTAGTCTTGATGGGCACCAGTGACCCCCCGCGACCTGAAAAGGAAGAAGCAGGTAAAGATGATGGATGAACTTGTGTTCTCAGAACAGATCATTTACTTTGTACTCATAACCAGAAGTTCATAATCACAACATGTCTAGATGATGGCATCAGGTCAGACTGGATGTAACGTTTTAAAGCAGACCCACAAACCTCTTCACAAACAGGTTGAAACTATGATTTATTAAAAATAAATACATTTTGTCCCTGCGGGAAAATAATTGGACTCATGTTTGCCAACAACACAAGTTTGTCACAAGGAAACTCAGGCAGTGGATCTGATCACATTTAGTCAAAGCCAAAAGTACGTAAAAGGAGTTATCTTCAATTAAAATTGTTTATTTTATGTGTGTGTCCACAAACAGAATGTGTAAACAACAAACACGAGCTGAAACTAAAAGCTGGCAGTTGAAAGCTGCTGATTGGAGAGCCGCGCTGCAGACGCAGCAAACTAAAGCTGGAGCAGTGAGTCCATTCACATAAAGGGTACATCCATATAGTTTTAATGTGAGAAGACACTTTCTTTTCTTACATTTTACCCCCCCCCCCCCCACACCACACACACACCCACACACACACAAACCTAAAGCACAGCTCTATTTTTAAAAACCCACGAAGGAACAAGATGGTTGCAGAGGAGCTGAAGTGTATGCACAGGCCTCTATAAATAAAAGCACAACACAAGAGGAGAACTCTGCAGATGCAGAACACCCCCCCACCCCCCACACACACACACACACACACACACACACATACACTCCCACCTCCTTTAGATCCACTGGACACTGCTGCTGCATTGCTAATGGCTCTTATTTATTATCTCCTCCGTCTATTCCCGTTTAGCCACACACCCCCCTCCCCCCCACTTCCTCCCCTCTGGTTCGAAATGTTTCTCAATGAATAATTGACTGGGGAGGTATTTTGGACCAGCCCGTCTTGGGTGCAGTGTATAAATAGCTCGTGTGCAGCAAAGCGTGCATGGATTTGTCAGGGCTGTGGGGCCTCGGAGTAGGAGCTGTGTTATGTAATAGGCATGTGAGCTGGCACTCCACTGAAACACTGCATTCAGTGTGTGTGTGTGTGTGTGTGTGTGTGTGTGTGTGTGTGTGTGTG